GTCGGTGGTGCTGTCAGTCGTGGCACTCTGCCGTCGGCTTTTCTTCTCTTCACGCTCAGCGAGGATAGCGCCTACACCTGCTGCAGCAGCGGCGCCAGCGGCCACAGCACCCCAATTGTAAGAAGATTCCTGGCGTGCATCTTCATTATCGTGGCCACGCCCGGACGCTGGCTCCCTGGAATCACGCGCAGATTTCTTCTTAGCAGACTCCTGGTATTCTCTCGCATACCTTTCAGCCTCCCACAGCCTTCTCTGCTCGTCTTCCCGCCTAGCATCCTCAGCGAGCTGGTACTGTTGTCTCTGAAAAGCCTCTTCACGTTCACGACTCTGTCTTTCAGCTTCGGCCCGTCGTCGTTCGGCGTCCTCTCTGGCCTGCCTCTGCCTCTCAAATTCGGCATTGGCCTCCACGGCGGCAGCTTGGCGATCGGCAGCTTCCTTTTGGAGTCGCTCAATCTCCCATTGTCGTTCGCGATCTTCGCGTGCACGCTGTTCGGCACGAGACCGCGCTTCTTCTGCTTCTTTCCGTTCCTGCTCAAGTTGGCTATCGAGTTGAGCCTGGGCACGTGCTTGGATCTCTGCCTCACGCGCTCGGAGGACCTCTTCTTGCCGTGACTCTTTGGCGGCTCGTTCGGCCTCATCTTTGAGAGCACGCGTACGGTCCGAGCGCCGACGCTCGTCATCCGCTCGCTTGTCTTCGCGTCGAATCGACCGGCTCTCCTTACGTTGTTGCTCCTCAGTGAGACCGAAACGCACGTTCGATGGTGAGTCCTTGCCCTTGCGACCAGACGACATAGCAGAGCCTGCAATAATTGCACCTGCACCAAGCACGCCTGCGCCAATCAGAGCAGCGTCTTGACCCCATGATGATTGCACGGGACTAGACTGTGTGCGACGTGGATTTGGTCTATCGTCGAATGTACCAGCCGTGGCGGTATACCCTCGATCAGCGTCAGGCTGCGTGAAAGCAGGGCGGGCAGGAGACATGGGCTGCGGATGCTGTACTACACTGGGCCCTGGCCGATAGATGGGCGCATCATCTGGCTCAAATGCACCAGGCATAGACATGACACGCGATGGTGTATCGAAGGCGCCGGGGACATATTGTTGATTTGACGTTCCCGCCTCAGACAGCGGCCGAGGTTCGACGTACTGCAGAGGCTGAGAGGATGCTCCACTGGTCGACGATCTGGCATCAACACTGGGGAGTGGTCGACCTGTGTCGTCCAGGTAAATTGGTTGGTCAGACTGGACAGGCCGTGAAGGATCAAAGACAGAGTCAGCACCAGCTGCAACGCCAGCTCCAGTCGGGCCAATTGAAGATCCAAACTGATTGTGGGTGTATGGAGTCTCAGCAGATATTGAACGCCCCGGTCTTCGCTTCCTGTCCTTACCGCCCCATCTCCACCCCCAGGCACCGAGCCCACCAGCAGAGGATTGCGATGCTACGCTCTCTAGGCTTTGGCGATTGGACAAACGTCTATCACCATAGTCTCCGAACGCAAGGCCATCGACACTTGATGCATGATCGGAAGGCAGTTCATCCTCCCATTCTTCGTCCTCAAAAGATCCTGGAGAGCCATGGCGATGATCTCCAACGACCTGCTGTCGGACTTGCCTGCGCGCGCCAAGTTCAGGTCTGCTTGCGCGCTTGCTGATGCGATGACCTGCCTTCGCTGCTCCCAAAGCGGCAGCAGTGGCACCAATTCCAGCCAGGGTCGCTGCAAGGTGTTGATCGGAAGTCTTCCGTTGTGGCCGCCCACGGCTTGAACGCCCAGAGGACCTGCGAGACAAGCTAGTCTTACTACCATTGCGGCTGACGAAACTGCCGCCGAAGGCCAATTCGGAGTTTGATGAAGACGAGGATCCGTTACTGAATGTGAAGAAGCCGCCATGCTTCTTCTGGCGTTCTCGTGAATTGCGTCGCTGAGTTCGCGAAGGAGAAAAGAAGTTTCCGAAAATGCCGCCTCCACCCTCGTCTTCAGACTGTCGCTTGTCATTACGATCGTGTCGCGCATGTTCGGAGCGTCGTGGGGACACGCGCGTTGATCTCCGCCTGTGCTCTCTGCTGGAGGATCTTGACCTTCGTCTCGAGCTGGCTGCAACGCCTGCAGCGCCCAACGCAGCAGCAGCAGCTATGCTTCCAATGCCGATTCCTGAGGCCTTTCGGTCTCTGGATCTCGAACGAGACTTGGCCACGCGCCTCTGTTCGACAGTCCCGTCTTTTCTACGAACTGTCACGAACTCGTTATGATCAGCTCTAATCGTGCCATACTGCGATCGTCTCCGCTTCTCTCGGCTGGAGCTGCGACTGCGCCGCCTCACTGCCGAGCTCTCGCGGTGCCCAGATTTGACACTATACGTGTCGTCAAAATTCTTTCGATCGCTGAAAATTGCATTTGCAGCAATGCCAGTGCCTACCGCTGCCAGACCGGCGCTTGCAAGACCCATACCAGAGTGCCGATCCTCCCGTCTCCGGCGGCTCGAGTCGGATGCATAGTAACGACTCTCCTTATCCACGCGCTCAAGGCTACCCTTATGCAGCAGTCTATCCCTACTCACGCGTCGCCGCAACGATTCGAATGAATCTGATCTTTTGTGGTAGTGATGCACACGCGGCGCATCCCAAGCTGTGGTCCGGGGATCGAAGCAATATTTGCACACGCCAATGTACTCGGTATACATTTCCATTTTCGCCACATCTTCGGGTGAGGAAATCAGGTTGAGCAGACCATCCTTGAGCTTTGTCATAGGTCCCTTGTGCTCGTGAAAGCGGCCTTGCTGCATCATACCGCCTCCACTGTTGCCGTCGGAGGGGTACTGATTTCCATATCCAGTCGGTAGTGGTGGTCGTGGCGGACCTTGGTTATTGCCGCCGAAGCCACCGCTAGTGGCCATGTTGGAGCCTGACTGTCCGTGCTGGTGATGGTGATGATAGCTCTCGTATGCTGCAGCTCCCGCGGCCGCCGCGCCTGTCGCATACATTCCTGCGCTGAGATGATTAGTAGTCTTACCTGCTGGCACATTACCAATTCCATAAGTGTTCTCGTAGTTCGGCCCGTAGGCACTCGTCCCTGCCTGTGATATGCCGTAAGCACTCGTCACTTTCTGCGCAGACGCAGAGGCATTCGCCACTTGAGGTGGCGATGCGTAGTAAACGCTAGCATCAGATGTGTGCCTTGACGGTCGTTGCTGGGTACTCGTTGGTTGCACGGTAGGCGGGTACTCGATAGAAGTTGACTCGCGTTGCTGATATGAAGCTGATGCCGTTTGTCCGGGTCCTCCAGATGGTGAATGTTGTTGTGAGGCTGACATTTTGCCGTTCTTGCCAGTCTTGCTGAGCGCTGCAACTCCTGCAACTCCGGCGAGACCTGCAGCGACGGCACCAGTTGACGAGGTTCGCGAGGGTTTGGAGGGTTTTGTTGATGATTTCAGAGGTTTCGTTGCACTGAACGAGGACTGCTTGCCTGGTTTGGCTGAGGGCTTCGCAGGCGTGACTGGCGCTGAATAGGACGTGGTGTCATTGTAGAAGTCAGCGGCGCTTCCAGCGCCAGTATCTTGAGCAGGGATCGGGACCGCTGAAGCAGCCATCAGGTGATGGTCAGGATTCACGAGCATGTTTGGTGAGGCTGGACGGTTGCCTGGTTGATGGGCCACAGACTGTCCCTCGTCGAGATAGTAGTCTGCAGCATGCCCATAGCTGTCTGCGCGGGTGATTCCCACCTGTGGAGCGGCCTGCTCATACGGCGCTGGAATGTCTTGTCCGGGGAACTGAGATTGAGGCACAGAAGCTGGCAATGCGCCAGACATAGTATAGTAGTCCTGATGTTGTCCCATCATGCCCCCTCCTCCATACTGTCCCGGAAATTGCTCCAGACTCGCCATGGCTGGAATCGCGCGGGAGCTCTCTGTGACCACCTCTGGCTCGTGGCGACGCGACAATGGCTTATCCCTGGTTTTATCAGATGTGGTGGAGCTCTTCCTCTTCTCCTTGCGTTCGCGACTGGAACTGCGCTTCTGTTGCGCCTCCCTCTCCTTGTCCGCCGCCGTCGCACTCTTGCCACTGCCTTTCCGCCTCTTTTCACGCTCATCGCTGGGACTTCGCTTCTTGGCGCTGCTCCTCCGCTCGCTTCTCGCCGTCTTGTCGTCGTCCTCCCACTCGTCGTCGTCTTCGTCGGGCAGCATGCGCAACGCACTTGCGGTGAGGGGCCTTGTCTCCACTGCACTCACGCGACTCATTGGCGCAGTCGCATACGAGCTGGAGGTGGGACTAGCATAAGTCGCCGCACTCCCATAGGCAGATGGAGGAGCAGAGAAGGACGAGGTCTCCTTCTGACGATTGCGGTCATCCTCCTCATATCTAGAGCTGGTCTTCGCACGCTCCTCGGTGTCAGCATACCTTGCGCTGCTCTCGTATCTGCTACTCCGATGCCGTCGGGAGCTTCCACTCATGACACTCGCAGAATCGTCCACATCTCCGCGCGTACTCCTGCTGCTGCCGCTGCTCTTCTTGCGCCGCACCTCCGGCCTCCCAGAAACACTCGTGGTTTCTCTGTCCTTGTCGCCACCCTTTTCGCTTCGCCCTGTAAAGGCCGCTTTCCACATTTTCACAGAGTGCTGGTCTCCAAGAATTGCAATGTGCTCGTCCTGGCGAGCTGACGTCGGCGTCGTGTTTTGATCGGTACCTGTATCTCCTGGGTCGTATACCTTATAATGAGGAATAATAATGTGTCGAGCAGAATTCACCGCAAGCGACTCATCGTCGGCCGCTCTGCCATCGTGGCCGATTCGTCCAGAGTCGTTCGTTCATTGGACGGTACAATGTATGCGTTGTACTGCAGACGCGGTGGCTGGTAGCCTGGGTAGCACGACAAGGATGCTTTGCGCTAGTTGTGGGTTGAAAGTTTATTGAAGCTTGTGTGGCGGACACTTATTCCAGCTCTCCACGTCGTACCTCCTAGTCTCAGCACGATATGGTAGGGGATTCATATTGGATGGACGCAGTGGTATACAAATTTCTACAGGACCTACATATGTGAGGTCGAATGATGGAGGAACTGCGGGCCGTTGTCATGTTTGACAGTCTCTGCTAGGCTCCTCCCTTGCTTCATCTGATCTCTCGGCCGATCTTCGGTTCTCCATCTTGCTCCGTATCTGGCCCAAGTCTACCTTATATATGCTAGGGCTCGCACTGTGCGCTAGAGACCACGTAGTTTCGAGCGCATGAATGAAGGCTGAAGCACTCCATGCAGAGCTGCATCTTGTGTCACAAAACATCATTACCAGGCACTTGCCAGCACTCTCACCTTGACCGTGAGGTAAAGACAATCCCCGCACATACTGGCATACTGCCATACTGCGGCAGTGACCAGATGCAGTGCATATGATGGAGTTTACCAGCAGTCGACGGTACGCCCAACTTCATCTGAGTCGCAACCCGATTGGTTGCAATTTTTGGTAGAGAGACACCGCATTCGTTTGGTCTCCGACAACGCTTATCACAGTCGACTCGCTCATATTGGATTGCCATAGTGTGCCCGTAAATTGATAATCTGTGACCGTGATGGTTCTGCTATCATCAGGATCTGTTCTCGCGTCATGGCCATGAGTTGGGCGATCAGCGCCTCCGGCATTGGAGTCTGAGCAGGCGGTGGGGCAGCTTGAGGGGGCGGCACTTGCTGTGGTGGAGGCTGATAGAAAGACGACTGCGGCGGAGTTGGCGCATATCCGGGCTGGGGTCCATAGCCAGGAGGGTAGCCATGCGGCGGTGGCGGCATCGGCGGCTGAGCTTGCGGTGGATATCCGGGGGTTGGTTGCGCTTGTGGTTGGTATCCTTGTGGTGGCATTGCTTGAGGTGGAATTGCGGGCGGAAGCTGAGTTTGCGGCGGTGGGGCTGGTTGAACGGCTGGGGGGGCCGTGGCCACGAGTTGATTGACGACGGTGCCGTCGACCAAATCTAGCAGCAGCATCGCCTGAAATATCGCGTAGGCCAGTTGAGGAGCTTGAGTCAACAGGGCAGTGGCTTGACCTGGGTTGGAAGAGCAGAGGCCTTTGACTTGGCTGATGAAGTCGATCAGCTGGGGTGTGGGTATCTGATTAATAGTTCTGCTGATGGCGTCGAATGCGGTCACGCCAGGTGGGAGCTCCGTCCCAGGGGGAAGTGGAGGTAGCGCAGAAGGGTCTGGTCGCGGTGGTGCTTGTCCTGGTGATGAGCGTCAGTATACGACATGATGCATGTCCTCTTGTGTGTACCTACCATTCATGTTGAAATGCGCAGGTGGAGGCGCTCGATTACTTTCTGGCGGCTGGGTCTGGTTGCCCGAACCACCTGCGCTCCGATTGTCATTGCTATAGTCCACCCGCAATGTTCGCCCATTCAGATCAGACTCGTTCAGGTTGCGCACGGCCGAGGCGGCCGCATCGGTGTCTGTATACTCCAAAAAGCCAAAGCCCTTGGGCTGGCCGGTCTCCTTGTCGTAGACCAAGCGGAAGTTAACGACCTGTCCTGCGCGGCCAAAGATGTCCATAATCTGCTCCTCGCTCACGCCATATGGAATGTTGCCGATGAAGACCACGCGACCGCCCTTTTCGCGTTGCGCCATCTTGTCGCGTACGCCTTTGCGGCGGTGTGCTTGTCGGTCGTGTCCGTGTCCGTATGGGTACGTGTGCGTGGCACTGTTCGAATGGAGTGCTGAACAGTGGGGCTGGTCTCGTGATGAGCGCTGCAGGAAAAGATTTGTTGTTGTAGTGTTGTGCAGGTAGTCGGTGGACGCGCGATGTTGTCTGCTGTAGGAAATGTATGTGCCTCAATGACAGTAAAGTGAGTACAAGGGTACGGTACGTACCTACGGCCTACCTAACCTCGTGAAAGTCCATTCAGCCAGCCAGGCTGAGCCAGCCAGCCAGCCACAAGGGTCCAAGCTCATAGCCGTGCTTCCGAGAGTCCAACTACATGTACATGTACCTCATACCTCATACCTCCTATATACTATGTACCTCCTCCCTCCCACCTACATGTACTTACGGTACCACCCGACCACTTCGACCCCTTCGACCACCTCCAGTCCTCTGTCCATACTACCACCGGCCTGTACCCCCCTATACCCCCTTTCCTCCTCCATCCCACTACACGTATGCTGAGCCTCCCGGCATGTCTCAACGCTACATACAGTCATATTCACCCCGAGGTGTCCATATGCAGGTACAGTAGAGTTCATGTAGTCTGTACATGTATGCGAACAGTGTCGCCTCCGACCCGTAGACCCACCTCCTACCTCCGTAGGAGGTAGATATACACAGATATGCCGTAGGAGTCCCAAGGGCGCCCCATCGCCAGCTCATACCTGTCCTACGACTCGCTGGTCTCCATGGGTCCGGCCGGTGGGAGGCCATGGCACTACGGGGGACACTATCAACAAGCATCTGTCAGCCTGCACCCTCGGACTGCCCAAAGAAGATGTCTCACGTCTCGGAGCAGCCTGGGCACAAGTAGTTCGTGCCGCTGACTCGGGCGCCGTGTCCACCAGAAAGATCTCCGCTCCGCTACGTCATTACCACTGCTTCATAATGTATTTCTTCCAGCAGCTCGGCAGACTAGTAGTACATTATCTCCACTGCGGGCGGATCTGCTACCCTCCAATGCCTTCCTCCTCCTCCAAGGCCTCTTCCAAGTCTCCGAAATTCGAGGACGTCTTGACGGATAAGCTTACCACGCTGCAGCAGAAAATGTCTACGCAAAAGGTTCTGAGACTGCCTGCCAAGGGTGCTGGCTACGAAGCCATCACCGAAGAAGCGGAGCCGATACCCAAAGCACATTCGCATGAGGTGGTGATCAAAGTGCAAGCATCGGTACGTGCAACGTCGCATGAAGAAGACTTTTGACACACACACACTCTCTCTCTCTCCCTCTCGAGCGACAGCTAAACCGTGTTCCGCTGCAGACGCTCAACTATCGTGACCTCGCCATCGCAAAAGGCGCATACCCCTTTGCCGTCAAGGACAATGTTTGCATCTTGTCCGACGCGGCCGGTACCGTTGCCGCCGTTGGGCCCAATGTCACATCTTTCGCAAAGGAGGACATTGTCATCGCCAATTTCGACACGACGCATCAGTATGGCCCTCAACCGGATTGGGAGAACGGGCTGGGTGGGCCAGTCGATGGTGTGGCGCGGCAATACATCACGCTGCCCGCGAGCTCTGTCGTCAAGGTGCCTAAGGCTACCAAGCTCTCGTGGGCCCAGCTTGCCGCTCTCGTCTGTACCGGTACGACCGCGTGGAATGCCCTCTACGGCAACCTTCCTCTCAAGCCAGGTCAGTGGGTTCTCTTCCAAGGAACGGGTGGTGTTTCGATGACGGGACTTCTGTTGGCAAAGGCCGCAGGCGCAAGAACCATCATCACATCTTCATCGGATGAGAAGCTCGAGAAAGCAAAGACCGAGTACGGTGCCGATCATACAATCAACTACACAACGACACCCGAGTGGGGCGCAGAGGCCATGAAACTCACAGAGGGCGCGGGCGTAGACATCATCTTCGAAAATGGCGGGTCGGGAACCATCGCTCAGTCGTTTGAAGCTGTCGCCCAAGGTGGTCAGATTGCAGTCATTGGGTTTCTCAAGCCTGCTGCACAAGAAGAAATGCCGGATGTCGCGACCCTTGTGCTCGGCAAAGGCTGCATAGTTCGTGGTGTCAACGTCGGTTCCAAACAGCTCACGCAAGACATGGTCAACTTTGTGGCGAGCAAGAATTTGGCTATTCCGATTGAGAAGACCTTCAAATTTGAAAAGGATCAGGTGATTGAGGCGTACAAGGAGCTGGAAAAGGCGACACATGTCGGCAAGATTGCCATCGAGATTGCGTCGTAGTTGGCACGGGAAACGGTACGTGTATAGCATGATAGGATGAACAGAACTCATAACGACTTATCAACAGCACAAAGTAGCACTCATGCGAATTTGCCTGTGTCTGCTGCCTTCAAATTCCATCTGTCTCACGGCTGAAGATCTGTGCTGAAGCACTGGCTGTGTCATTCCACTGCTCAGCGCGTGATTCAGCAAGCATCCCTTCTGGCCTCATCAGTCTTACTGATTGATGTAGCGATTGCTTGTCAACAAGATCACCCAACAAGAACATATAAAGGAAAGGCAAGTCGCGTAGTAAGCCAGTCCTGAATCGTTACGGCCATAGATCCGATCGTGCAAATTGATCTCAAGTGTAGGATCCGGGCTTTACGCTCGACCGTTCCAGCGTTCTCGTAGCGATCGACGCGGTTCAGAGCAGAGACAAGATTCTTTGGCAACGGTCCATTGCACAGAGCCTCGTTACATACGTATCTCGTTATCCATTCCAAGGGTCTAGGCCGACGAGTGCCAGGCATTGTCGTCTTGTTCGTGTGCTACATGCTGTTTTTCTGCCAGGCCCAATCATCGGTCGCATGGTACTGAATCACCCACTCTCCGCCCTCGTCCTCCCATCCCCACTCTTCGTCCTGACATGACTCAACAGCGGCGGACTCCCCCATTCATGTCTTGGTGTTGTTCCCCCAGGCGTCCCGGGTCTCCTCCGATCAACAGGACTCCAATGCCTCTTCAACGCATCTCCGATCATCTGATCTTCCTCGTTCTCGCCCTCGTCCCCAGCGTCACCCCCCACTCCCTCCTCTTCCTGCTGCTGCTGGACAATTCGCACCCCACCACCACCGCCAGCCTTCAAACCTCTCCTCAATAGGTCCTCACTCCCCCTCGGCACGATCCTAGTCTGCACACTCCTCTTCTGAACCAAGTCCTCCTGAATCAAGTTTTTGAAGTAAACCTCAGCAGCCACAGTCTGACTATACGCCAGCGGAGTCCAATCACTATAATTCATAGCTTGTGGATTTGCTCCAGCTCCCAGTAGGATTCTCGAGGCTTTCAAACTTCCACTCGCAGAAGCATGGTGCAAAGCCGTGTTGCCATCTAAATCCACCCCATCCACTCTTGCTCCGTGATTCAGTAGGACTGGAATTAGTGCAACACTGTTGGGACACGTGGCAGCCAAAGCGAGGGCGTCGAGGCCAGCGGCATTTCTCAAATGGACAGAGGGTGTTTTACACTGTGTGATGAGCAAGACTCCAGTGTCGACGCGTCCGTGTTTAGCAGCCAGCATGAGCGGGGTGTTGTGCTCTGTGGTTCGCGAGACTTCGGTAGCGTCATGGCCAAGCGTGAGGAGCAAATGGACGATTTCGGTAAAACCAGCTTCGGCGGCCAGGTGAAGCGAAGTGTTGGATTTGTCGGTATAGTCGGTGTTGTGGAGGAGGAGAGGGTGGTTCTTGAGGATGCGGTGCACGAGGAGCACGTCGTTGAGGAGAATCGCTCTGCGGAGACGCGTTGAGGGCGGGATCCTGTGGAAATGGCTGTCTGTTAGGGGAGGGGAGGCACACAAGCTTCAGAAGGTGGTGGTGGTGGTGGTGGTGGTGATGAAGGGGGAGGAGGTGGTGATGGTGGTGGTGGTGGAGACGGTGAGGGGGTGTAGGGGCCGAGTCATACATCTCGTCTCTAGACTTGAAGGCATGTCATCTCATCTCATCGTCTGAGGGCCGTGGTGTGTTGCTTGAGACCGGCTCAAGACTTCAAGGCATACATCTATATGACAAACTCCTCAAAGCAGAGAAGGTGCCCGTTCAGATGCAGGAAGGAAGGGAAGGTAGGGCCGTAGGGCCAGGTACAGTAAGGGCATGGAACTAGCGTAACTCTATATATAGATTCTACAGTACACTTTTGCCCTCCCGTCACCTCCGTGTCCTCTGTTCTACCTGACTGTATATGTAAAGTCTAGCGGCCGTGGGAGTATATGTACATGCTGAATATACAAGCCTGTCGCAACAAGAAATGGGTGGACGACCGGGCAATGCTCCCTGCCACAACACCGGATAACGAGCCTCATACATCGATGTTTACTGAAGTCCATCACGCCACATAGGTAGGTATTGAACTCACTTCCGCCGCAACATTACTTTGGAGCACATGTTGATCAGCCCGATCTTGGCTTCGCTCTCTGGAAATCCAGCAATGGCCTGAGCAGCCTTATCAACATAATCCTGCGCCAGTGCTCGGGTCTGCTCGATGCCGTTGCTCTGCATCACGATGTCTCGTGCCTGTGTCAAGTTAGAAAGGCTTCCACAATAGACACGCCGTGGGAAACTCACCCTCTGCGCATCCCCTTTCTCCGAAAATTTTCGCCCGACCAGCGTGCCCAGCTCCTTGTTGTCCTTCCACGCAAATAGTAGAGGCGCAGTTGCAAGACCCAGCTCTAGGTCTGCGCCTCCTGGCTTTCCAAGCTCCTTGCCACTCACGGTGTAGTCCAGCATATCATCGACCAGCTGGAACGCCAGCCCAAGATTCTTGCCGTATTGATACGCAGCCTCCACCACTTCCCGTGGGTGTTCTCCCAGCAATGCTGCAGCACGGCACGACTTGCTGATCAAGCTAGCAGACTTGAGATATGTCTTTTGCAGATAGTATGTAATCGTCTCTTCATTCCAGGTGGGATATCTCTCGTCCGTCGCCGTATTCTTCAACTGCATGAATTCTCCCTCGACGAGATTCGCAATGACCGTGGCTAGCAATTCCGTCACCTCTGGATCGCGTAGACGGGCCAGGGCCACGGATGCTCGTCCGAGCAAGAAGTCTCCGGCCAGAACTGCCATCTTATTGCCAAACTCGATATTCGCAGACGGATTCCCCCGCCTTGCATCGGAGTGATCGATCACATCGTCATGCAGGAGAGAGGCAGTGTGGATGAGCTCGGTGATCTCTGCCAGCCGTCGTTGGGATGGTAGTACGGAATCATCGGAGGCGAGCTCCGCGGTTTCGGCGCTGGGTGCTGTGAGAGGTGACGAGGGATTTGCATCGGCGAGCACGGAGGGCGAGGAGATGGGCGTGTCGACGCTTCGCTGCATGCTAGCTCGTGACCGCGGGCGTTGTGGGAACAGTGAGGTGGCTTGCGACATGAGAAGCACCAGCATGGGCCGTACGTATTTGCCCTCGGACTGAGTATAGTATTTCGAGACGGTGTCCAACATGGGATGGCCTGAGCCGAGCAGCTGTCGTATATTGCCCGTCATGAACTTCATCTCTTTTGCAACACTCCGCAATGGGTCAATGTCGAGGCCCATGGGTCCTGGCGGAGGCGCGGCGTGGAAAAGCTGCTTCGCCTGCGACACGGCGGCGGCGACTGCTGACTGCTCTCGCTGGAGTGTGGCATGGTACAGCTTCCGCCGGCTGTGATGAAACGACCGGTACAGTATGGGTCGAAGGCATTGTGGGCAGTGCGGATTTGTCGCGGCCGTCACCGTCGTCGTTCGTTGGATCGTCGAAGCTGTGCGTGGCCCAACAAAAACTCGCGGCAATGCCGCTGCGCCGACAGGCATATATGAGGCAGCAGAGAAAATTTCACAGGGGCCGTTGGGTCAGCAAGAAGCTACGCTGGTGCTGTATATCGGAAGTGAAAGAGCGTGATGACGGCGGTGTCAGCAATATGAATGTACCTACGAGGGACATGTATAAGCCAAAGTCATTGATGATTTCGAGACTTTGTAGCTTGTCGATCACCGTACTAGCTGTGCTAGTTCCAGGGAACTGAACCCTGCCCTGCGACGGTCGGCCAAAGCGGCCAACCGCCATCCGTTACCCCCGGCTTCCGTCTTCAACTTCATCTTTATACTACTTCACTATACTGTTACCTACAGTCTACTCGTAGACAGCTTATAATATGCCTCGGACGTACGTACCTAGAGGCTTAAATGTTATAGATTATAATAACTATTAGGTCTATATCGCTATATAGCTTGCGGAGGGTATCTTATATATATAGATAATCGCTAATTTATACTACTAACTCGGTATTACTATTATATAGCGTATATTCGAGCGACGACTAGTAATCTAGGGCCTTACTATACTATACGCGCCTTCAAATCGACGATAGTACAATATATCCGACGAGGTCGATAGCCTATAGATACGTATAGCGTATACCTATAATAAGCTACGACTTATAGACAATAAGGCAGTAGCTATACTTACGATTAATAGCTAGAATCTTAGTACGAGAACGTATCGGCGTATACGTAAGGAGCTAGAGTTTAGGAAACAGATACCTATAGTAGAGTAAGTATATACCGATAAGCTAATCGCTACGGCGCTCGTAGGGGAGCTCGTAAAGTTAGAGGTAGAAGTATATAGTAAGGGCAACCTATATACGTATCTACGCTTAGAGATAAATATAATTAGGAGGTACGTAGGGATACTATTATATACTCGCTATATACTCGTGTACTAACTCGCCTTAGGGATCGTATCTACCGTATTGTTAAATTGCTTAATCCGGACGCTGTTTAGCGGCGATACGAGAGAGCGAGAGAGTACTATAGCGCTATAATTATACCTAGACCGCTAGCCGCTATCTCGATAGACGTATACTACAAGTTTGAGTACTAGGGTATTTAGATATATAGTAGAATCGATATATACGCGCGATATATAGAGTAGATTTACGTCGGTATTACTAGTAGGTTAGCTGTCTTAGTACTTGCTTAATATATCGCGATACTACGCTATAGTAGATACGCGCCGGTAATTATACGCTCGGATCGCGGAGGTAAGACTATTCTAGCCGCCGACGTATACTATATAGTACGTTGTACGGCTTACGACGTCGATAATACTAAGCGTAGGGCTCGTAGCGAGGCCGAGTTACTACTACTACGATTCGGTAAATACTTCCGAAAGTTCCGATATAGTATAAGTAAGATGAATTAGCGTATCGAGGCATAGTAGAATTAGTAGGCTAAGGCGCTAAACGGATAGCGCGCGTATTTCTATAGTATAAATGCTACGAACGAATTTAACCCTAAGTTATTAGGTAATCGTATTGCCTTCCTTGCGATTTATACTACGATCCTCTACAAGACAGTTATAGGGTTCGTAAACGTATAGAACTATTATAAGATTCGGAAGTAGAACAACCGGCCCTTCTCTATTCTAGGTATACCTTATATATTACGGCATTATCTAGAGCTCTATAGCGCCGCGTACTAAGGTATACGTATACCTAAGGAGGTTCTATAGATACTCGAAGGGACGCTAGAAGGGTTTGGTATATATACTCGCTCTCCTCGTAGCCTACTCGCTAACTTAATAACAGACCTCGAGGCCTTTCTTCCCGCCGATACCTACGAATAGTATAAAGCGACCCTCCTCCCCTATAGTATCGCGCTGCCTATTAGTAGTACGTCGTACAACGCAGCGACTAGCGACCGTACGTACCGTACGGCCTATATTACCCTACGTAGCCTAGTTAATAACTATATTAGCTTAGAACAATAGCTAATACTCGGTATACTTCTAAAGCTATTAGTAGTAAGAGATTAGATTCCTACGTAGTAGACGGCCGAGGCATTTAGAGACACTAGTAATACGCTAATCGCGAACGAGGATATAGGTATTATCGAATTCTATAATAATCCGTAGGCTATAGAGCTAGCGTAGGAAAATTCTCCTCTACGAGTATAACTACGAGCTAAGCGAGCTAAGCCCTCTAGGGTATATATTATAGTACGCACTATTATCTAAATTCTTTTCTATATATATATACCCTCTTACTATAGCCGACAACCTATCTAGCCTCTAGGCCGAATACTGTCTAGTCGTACCGTCGATTCGATATAGCGTTATATTCTACAAGTTTAATTTCTGCTCTTAGTACTATTAGCTTAATCCAAACCCTCTAGGTACTACGTTCGTATATAAAGTATTACGTATACTAGAAGGTAGCCTTCTAGCTACTACTAGACAGCTGCCGCCGCCGCCGCTGCCGCCGCTATAGCTGTAGCTAGGGCCGTCGCAATCGTAGTAGCTAGTACCCGTATACTAAGTAAAGGTTAGTCGCCTTAAAGCGATCTATATAGCGAATACTTAGCGACGGTTAATAGGGCTTCTAGACATTCGCGAGAATCCTATAGTACGCGAATACTGCGCGTAACGAGGCTAATATTGCGTTTAGGGCTAAGGCCGCTATAGCCGTCGCGCTAAACGCAGGCGCGCTACCTCCTACTATACGTTAGTAGTAGCATTAGTCTACGCCGGCCCTACCGTCGTTGCGGTTAACTCCGCTGCCTCCGGCTATCTCGTTTAATATTAGCGTTATAGTATATACGTAGCGAGTTACTATACGAGTGCTTAAGAATAGTAATAATAAGTAGAAGTACTACGATCCGGTTGCCTATACCGACCTATATAACTATTAGACAGATCGCGATCGAGTAGCTAATAGCGCTAAGAAGTTATTAATAGACTTTATACTCGCGCGATTCGAGCCGAATAAATTACCTACGTAGCCTATTACGGCTATTAAAGACTTCTACGACGTATTCTTCGTACGATTATTCTATACTAAGACTAATAAACCGAACCGAGTATTATCTACTAGTATCGTAAGCGTAGACGTCCTCGAGTCTATAGAGGTATTTAAGGTACTACTACCTAGCCGATCCGCCGTACGTACGTACGAAGCTAGTATCGTCGTTTAGCAATACAAGTAACTAAGGCAAAAGCGTAAGGATAGGGAGGGTACTATAGCCTTACGCGCGATACTAACAGCGAGCGTAGCGAGTAGCTATATAACGCGCGTAGTATCCGAAGTCCTCTAGAGTATCGAACAGCTCTACGGCGATAAGTACAATAACGACGACGACGACGACGAGCTTAGCGACGCCGCCGACGAGCTTAGCGAGCTATTTATTAAAAAAGAGAAGGCATTATAGATAGAAAGCGTAGTTGACCCCCGCAAGCTACCTAAGTTTGTCGAAATCGACGGTAATACCGATATAGACAACGCTTATATTAAGAAAGAGAAGGCATTATAGACAGAGAGCGTAACTAACGCCCGTAAGCTACCTAAGTTCGTCGACTTAGAAGCGACGCTAGTAGCGAGCGCGACGAGTAGTACTACCGCTACGCCTACCGCTACGCCTGCCGCTACGCCTACGGCTAAGCGATACAAGCTAGCGGTTCTAATCGGAGAGAGGGCAATAACCAGAGCGCTAAGTAAGAAATAAATCGCCGTACTCGCTATTAGTATCGATAGATATAAGCCCGTAGGGCCTCCGGGGCCTAACGCTACGGCGGTTACTATTGCTACTGCCGGCGCCGCCCGGTATTACTTATATAGAGTATAGATACGAGTAGAAAAGACTGATTTTTATAGCTATCTACTACTATCGACTTATATCTACGACGGTATACCTATATTATAGAGTTTGCGTAGGGTCGGCGGACAATCCGATTAGTTAGATATACCCGGCGCTAGCTTATGTTCGCTAACTCGCTATAGAAACGCTATAGATCGCGTATAGCCTATCTAACTCGCTATACTCGCTACGGTATATCGCTACTATATATATAAATAGGTAGGTATATATATACCTATCTACTAATTATACGTACGTAGAATCGTAGTCGATTCCGGTATCGATACTCTACCCTACGGCTATACCGCTATAGCTATATTATAGACTATACGCCGGAGCTCGTCGACGTATAGTATAAGCTACTCTACCTAATCCTCTAATTTGCCTATCCTATCTTAAACGGTCTCTACCGTAGCCTATAGGCTATCGACCGTAGCCTATAGCGCTTTAATAGTAGCCTCTAGCTAAGCGATTCGCTACGAATCGCTAGGGGAATCGTTAACGGGTATCTCGGCCTAATAGCCTAACTTAGTATATCGCTTATAGTAGGCACAGATAATACTATTCTTTACGTCTACCTTATATAGCACGTCGCGCGGACCGCGAGTATACTAGTAATACGGATCTAGCGTATTAATATCCTCTATAGTCTCTATAATTCGGCTAGCTTAGTCGAACTTCTATAGGTTATTTTTTACGACCTTCTTCTTCGTCGCGTCGTCGCCCGTAGCCTCGTCTAACTAGCTCTACTATCTTTCGACTAAGCAGAACTAGAAGTTGCTAGAGTCTATAGTAGTAGGCCGGCGCGGGTATAGATCGGAGGTATATACGGCCCTATATATAGCGAGTTAGTAGAGATTTAGTAGCGAGTAAGGTAAGTCTACCTAGTATCGTCCTCCTTATCCTCCTTCTTATCCTCCGAGGTATCTTCGGTATCGGTATCCTTGTCTATAGCGTCGCCGTTATTTATCGTAGATATGTTCCTACTAAGTGCTACTAAAGTAGCAGATACGAGGAATCTATAGTATATTAGTAATATACGAGTTTACGCGCTACGTAACAACGTACTAAGGTTCGAATAATATAGTTATCTACGTCTGCGGCAGTAGAGGAGAGAGAGTAGACGTATTATAGTAGTAGATTCTTTCTTCGAGTTGCTATAGCGATAGCTTTATTATATAGGTAACTTATTATTAAGACAACGGATCTAGCAACAAAGAGAGAGGTAAGGTAGCGACGGATGCGGCGGTAACGGCGAGGTAGGCGGCGAGTATGTAGCGAGTGTGTGTGGTAGTATATAGTAGGTAGAAGGGTAGAAGTAGTATAAAGTTGAAGTCAAAGCCGGGGGTGACGGATAGCGGTTGGCCGCTTTGGCCGACCGTACCCTGCCCTGCCCTGCCCTGCTCGAGCTTTTGGTGTGCCTGCGCGCGGTCTGGTCTACTGTCCCTGTTGTCCCTGTTGTTCCTGGGCAGTGGGCACAAGGAGCCCTTATTAACTATATCATACCTTCAAGTTACATGTACCCATGATCGTGCCTGTCACTGGTGATGGTGCTGCTCACAACCACGCCTGCTGCCAAGGTGGCTCTCGTGGAATACTGTAGACGGCAGAAAGACATTGATGAGGGCTGCAGCGACGAGGCAAAGGAGCGACGCGAAAAGCTGTCGACGACAGAAATTGGCAGCCCACTCGAGCATCATGAGCTGGTCGAAATATCGAGGTTCTTGGTGCACGATGCGGCTTCTGATATTGCAAAGGCATGGCGTCTAGACTCACTACTGAAAGGTGCCCATGTCTATCAGCCTCCGCCGCCCTCGAAACCAGAGCCCGTACGTTCATATGCCCCAACTGCATCACTGCCACAGTATGCTAATCATTACGCAGAGCAGCGAGTACAAACGCTTGATGCAGCGCCTACGTGTCGAAGAAGAACAACGACAGTACGAACGAATGATCAACCCTCCAGCTCAACCAGAAACCTTCGGCCAACGCTTCCCCATGGCGACTTCATCATTCGGAGCCATTGGATCCTCAACCGCAGATGAAGTTGACGAAGTGACCTATGCAGATGTCAACAGGCAAATGGTCCTGATCATCAACGTCTTGGTGTCCATCATCTGCACCAGCGTGGCAGTGTGGATGGCAGCACGCCGCTGGAACGTCCCACAACGAATGGGATTAGCGTTCTTCAGCAGCACTCTTGTGGCCGTCGCTGAGGTGGCCATTTACATGGGCTACATTCGACGCATCCAAGAGTCCAAGGCAACAGAGAGAAAGCAGATCGAGAAGAAGGAGATTCTTGATACGTGGGTTATTGACGCCAAGTCCTCTTCGTCGTCCCAATCTGCTATTCCGAGCGACTCGATGCGGTTCAGAAAAGGAAAACACCGTTGATCGCCTCCTGAGAGTACCTAGGGTACCTCCGATATTGAAATTCTTTCTGCCTGAGGATCACGTGGCGCAAATCACGAAGGGTCGCGCTCCTAGCGCGTTTGCCAAAACACATCAACAACTCTGTCCTATTCGCTGGACTTCTTCCCGCACTTCTTCCCTCTCTTACGACTGAGATGAAATAAGGTATCAACCAACGGACCACCATTCTTGCCTCTTTATTCCGCATGGCCGACAGAGATTTCCACCACCCGTTTCAGCCTTATGCCATCCAACAGCAGTTCATGGAAGGCGTTTATGACTGCATCGAACAAGGCAAAGTGGGCATCTTCGAATCTCCTACTGGGACAGGCAAATCTCTGAGTCTGATATGTGGCTCGTTGACATGGCTTCGCGAGCACAAGCGAAAGACCTTTGATGAAGCTATGGCCAGTGTCGAGATCGAAGATGATGAGCCAATCTGGATCACTGAACATGCTCGGCAAGAGCGCAGCCGCGAAATTCGACAGCTGAGAGAGGAATTCGAGGCGCGTCTGACTGCTGTGCGCGAACGGGAGAAAAAGGCCAGAGAGCGAGCTCAGCGCGCCGCGAATGGTGAACCATCTTTCAAGCGGCAGAAGAAGACAAATGCCGCAGCTGAAGACCCCGAGGACGAGGAGCAGTTCATGTTGGACGACTATGAAAGCGAGAACGAAGCTGCGTCTGACGGTACACTGTACTCTGTCGAAACTAGGCGACTCATGGAGAAGCTGGGTCTGTTGCATACGATAGCGAAGCATGGAAACGCCGAAGACGACACCAATGAATTGAAGATATATTTCTGTTCCCGCACGCATTCACAGCTGTCTCAGTTTATTGGCGAGCTCAAGAGAGTCAGGCTGCCTCCTGGTTATCCTCCCGAGCAAAAAGATTCAAGAGGAAAAGCAGGTGAGATGACTGAAGAGCTGAAACATCTGACCTTGGGTTCACGTCAAAATTTGTGCATCAACGCCCGCGTCAATAAGCTGCCCACATTAACAGCAATCAATGAACGATGCTCGGAGCTGCAGCAGCCAAAGACGCCTGCGGACAAGAAGTGTCAGTATCTGCCACAGAAGGACAGTGAGCACGTGGTACTAGACTTCCGGGACCACGCTTTGGCGGAAATCCGTGATATCGAGGACCTGGCCAAATTAGGTTCGAAACTGCAAATCTGCCCATATTATGCTGTCAGACCTGGCATCGGTCACGCCGAGGTCGTAACGCTGCCCTACCCTCTTTTGTTGAACAAGGCTTCGAGAGAAGCACTGGGTATATCTCTAAAAGGGCACGTGGTCATCATCGATGAAGCACACAACCTTATGGAGTCGGTTGAAAGCATACATTCTGCCTCCATCACGGAGCTCCAGCTCCAACAAGCAAAAGCTGGGGTTGCGGAGTACTATCGCAAGTTCAACAAACGATTGAAAGATAAAAACAGAGCGTATGTAACGCAGATCATCAAGGTAGTTGCCTCGCTGCTTCACTTCATGAGCAATGTGCGCCAGCAGAGCAGCGATGGCAACATCACGACTGCGAATGCACTCCTTGCTACGCAAGGCGCTGATCAAATCAATCTTGTCAAGCTCGTCCACTACATCACCGAAAGCAAGTTGGCACGCAAAGTCGAGGGCTACATCACTCACCTCGCTCGCGCGGAGGCTACTCGAGCGCGGAAGCCTGTTTCTGATAGTGCTGCAGCAGAAGTCCCAACCCTTACTCACTTGCAAAACTTTCTGCCATGTTTGATGAATCCTGCTAGAGAAGGACGCTTCACTTGGGTCAAATATGATGGCACAATCGCTGTGAAGTACATGCTGCTCGACCCGGCCGAGCACTTCCGAAACATTGTCGAAGAGGCGAGGGCAGTCATCCTCGCCGGTGGTACCATGTCCCCTATGGAAGACTACAAACAGCAGCTCTTTCCTTACTTAGATGACATCACGACATTCTCGTGCGGGCATCTGATACCATCAAGCAACCTCTTCGTGCGAACAATCACATCCGACCAGAACGGCTCCATCGATTTCACCTTCAAGTGCAGAGAAAAGAACATGATTCGAGCAGGACACGCACTTTTACAAATCGTGCCGAAAGTCCGAGGAGGTATGGTCGTGTTCTTCCCCAGCTATTCCTACCTCGAGGCAGTTCACCGCGCTTGGAACTCTGCAGGCTTGACCTCCCGCCTTGAAGCCCAGAAACCAACTATTTACGACACGCGCGGTACCGCGGGTTCTGATCCTTTCGCGTCTTACAAAACCGCTATTCATGTCAACCCCACCCGAGGCGCTCTACTGCTCTCCGTGATAGGCGGTAAACTCTCCGAAGGCATCAACTTCTCCAACGAACTTGGTCGATGTGTTGTCGTAATTGGTCTGCCTTTCCCCAACTACAATGATCCCGACTGGAAAGCCAAAATGCAGTACCTGGAAGAAAGGGCGAAACAGAGAGGAGAGCCGAAGGGTAGAGCCAGCCGAGAACGTGGAGAGAACGTCACGATGAGGAGTGTTAACCAAGCCATTGGTAGGGCTATCAGGCATAAGGATGATTGGGCGAGTATACTACTTTTCGATGAGAGGTATGACGACGAGAGGTTTAGGCGAAAACTTCCAGGGTGGATCAGAAGTTGTGTGGATGAGAAGGCGGCGGGAAACGTGGAGAGTGTGGTAAGGGAGTTGGAAAGGTTTTTCGAGGGCAAGAATCAAGAGGAGATGCTGGATTCTTAGCCTACCGTATGGTGGCTGTTTCTGGTGCAGCACTGTACTATACCTACCTGGTAGGTACCTAAATGTACGTAGGAGGTAGCGTCCGTTCTCTGTGCATCTCCATTGCCAGTCTGTGAGTCTAGGTACAGGTACTTATGCACGTTCGCATATCCATTTTGCATAGGAAATGGATGAGTCAGCAGCCTATGAAGCTTGTACCTTGAGGTACCTACCTACATGTACCTAGGTACATGTATCTATTCACTTCTATCGACCCTCATATGCAAACATACCAAACATGGCTACGCGACGGGTCACTTAGCTAGTGAACAACACCATGGTGTCACGACAATACCATTGAACAGTAATACGATACCAGGCTCGTGTGTCGTCGACGGACCATGTTCCACTTCACACCACTGCTGGGCGCGCAGTCCGACTCGCCTGCCTCACAGTCGCTGCTCGAACTCGACGGCGGCGTCAAAATCCTCGTCGACGTGGGCTGGGACGAGACATTCGACGCCGAACAGCTGCACGCGCTGGAGCGGCATGTCGCCACCCTCTCCGTCGTCCTATTGACCCACGCCACCCTCGACCACCTAGGAGCCTACGCCCACTGCTGCAAGCACATCCCGCACTTCCGCAACGTGCCCGTCTACGCCACCACCCCCGTCGTCAACCTGGGCCGCACTCTCATCACTGACCTGTACGCCTCCGCGCCGCTCGCCGCCGGTGTCATCCCCGCCCGTGCCATCGCCGCCAACACTGCCCTTGCGCCCGACGCGACCCCAAGCCTTCTCTTTCCCGCCCCCAGCGCCGACGAGATCGCTGCCTATTTTGGCGCCATCCACCCTCTACGCTACAGTCAGCCGCATCAGCCGGTCCCGTCGCCTTTCTCCGCCCCCGTCGGCAACCTCACCATCACTGCGTACAGCGCTGGACATACCCCGGGAGGCACGATATGGCATATTCAGCACAGCTTGGAGAGCATTGTTTATGCCGCAGACTGGAATCAAGGCCGCGAGAACCTGCTGTCAGGCGCGGCATGGCTGTCTGGGGGTTCCAACATTACAGAAGGCCTGCAGAGGCCGACAGCGTTGATATGCAGCTCCAGGGGAGTGGAGAAGACGGAGACGCTGACGCGGAAGAAGAGGGACGAGGCTCTGATCAGTTTGATCAGGGAGACGATTGCGCAGGGTGGTAAGGTTCTGATACCCACGGATTCGTCGGCGAGAGTGCTGGAGCTGGCTTTTATTCTCAACCACACCTGGCGGGAGAACGTTGAAGGTCCACATGCCGACACGTACCGTAACGCCAGGATATACATGGCGAGCAAGACAAGCAAGAGCACTGTGCGCCAGCTTTCGAGTATGCTGGAGTGGATGGACGATGCGATTATCAGAGATGCAGAGGCAGCCATGAGTAAGACACAAGCCGATGAGGGCAGAGTACCGAACTTGCTAGACTGGCAATTCATCCAGCAGATTGAGAGTAAGAATAAGCTTGACCAAGCATTGCGGCGGAGGAGACCATGTATCTTGCTTGCTAGCGATGCATCGCTCGAGTGGGGCTTTTCACGACAAGCCATGGAGAAGCTGGCCGAGGATCCGCGCAATCTTGTCATTTTGACTGAGAGTGTGGCACAGACCAACACATCCCGATCCAGTCTTGCCCAGCAGTTGACTGAGTTCTGGCGGGCTAGCAGCAAGTCAACCTCGCAGACAGGCGCCAAGGTCGTTGGCACGGACGGCCGAAGCATACAGCTTCGCCATGCTACAGCGGAGAGTTTGACCGACGATGAAGATGTGATGTATCAACAATACGCAGCACGGCAGAGGCAGCTGCGTAGCAACATACAGGGAGACAGCACCAGCAACGACACGGCCACTGCTGAACTCGCCGAGGAGCAAGCGGAGGAGTCCTCTGATGATGACGACGAGGATGAGGATCCTGAGCATCAAGGACGAGCACTTAATCTATCCGCACAAATGACACAAAGCAACAAGCGAAAAGCTGGTCTGTCAGATGCCGAGTTGGGCATCAACATTCTCATTCGAAGCAAAAATGTACACGACTTCGACGTGCGGCATAGGAAAGGGCGAGAGAAAGTCTTCCCATTTGTCCAACGCAAGCCGAAGAGTGACGATTACGGCGACATCATCAAGCCCGAGGAGTATCTCCGGGCAGAGGAGCGGGATGCAGTCGATGGTGTGGACATGCGAGCTGATGTGAAACAAGAAGCCACTGCGGTTGGGCAGAAGCGAAAATGGGGTGATGCTCATGGTAACACCAAGGGAAAAAAAGACCGCAAGCCACTGCCTGACAAGCGACAGAAGGTGGAGGAGAAGCATGCGCCAGATGACATTGACGCGCTTATCGCAAAGGCAACAGGGGTCGTCGGAGGTGGCGATGCTCCCGAATCTGGGTCCGAAGACGACGAGAGTGATTATGAGCCAGATGAGGGCGAAGACAAACCACCTCGAAAAGCAGTCTTTGTTACGTCGCAGCTGGCGTTGCAGATACGAATCGCACATATTGATTTCTCCGGCTTGCACGAGAAACGAGATCTGCAAATGCTCATACCACTCATCAGGCCTCGTAAGCTCATCCTCATATCTGGGAGCGTGTCTGAAACACAGATTTTGGCCGAGGAATGTCGACAACTTCTCTTCAAGGGCGGCGAGCCCAAGTCCGACGTTTTTGCACCTGTCATCGGTGAAGTAGTGGACGCTAGTGTCGACACGAATGCTTGGACGATCAAGCTCAGTCGACAGCTTGTCAAGAAGCTTACGTGGCAGAACGTGCGAGGTCTCGGCGTCGTCGCAGTCACTGCTCGCCTAGACGCGGAACCCCTGGAGGATGGGAGCAGAGATGCAGAAGACGAGAATGTCAAGAAGAAGCTCAAAATGATCAAGGGCGACGCCGAAGGTGGTGACGAGGATAGCAAAGCTGGGCGAACTGGAATTCCAGCTGTGCCCGTGCTCGATCTGGTGCAAAGCATTTCCACGACATCGCATCAGCGAGCCACGCAGCCCGTCCACGTGGGCGATCTGAAGCTGGCCGATATGCGAAAGATGATGATTGATTCCGGTCACTCCGCCGACTTCCGAGGAGAGGGAACGCTGCTGATTGATCACACAGTCATGGTTAGGAAAAGCCCGTCGGGCAGGATTGAAGTCGAAGCTGGGCCTGCTGGACTCCGGCAGCCACAGTTCAGGACGAGAGATTACGAAGGCAGCTTCTATGCAGTAAGAAAACTCATCTACGGAGGCCTAGCGGTGGTGGCCGGTGTATAGTATATCACTCGCAGAACCATAGGGTCGGTTGTGATCCCATGGCAAACCATGGACCCAGCATTAGTGTTACCCTTTTCAATGCGGCGAATTCACGTCTTGCGTCAATTGGTCATTTTCATTTCTCAGGCCATACAGCCAAGAAAAGAACTTATGATCTGCACAGATGCAGTTGCATTGTGACCACGACACTGTGGCAGTATTCCCGGTTGTTTTTCTCCGCCGCCAGAGGCACTGACCAACAGCAAACGGTAGAGCGCATGGCGTCTCTGTCAATCTCGTGCTCCACAGGCGTCGCGTGCCAGAATTGACCACTCCCTAGATCATTTCAGACAGACCAGATTATGCCTATCAGCAGTCCATTTCGAGCCGACTGACATACTCACAGTTGCTTGCTACAGCATCGACACCTCGTCTGGTAGTCACCACGCTGTTGGGGTGCTCGCCTGATCTGGCAGTTTCCAGTAGCATAAAACAACAGCATCGCAGCTCGACCTCCCAACTCATTCTGCAGAGCAACACTCACTCCACTCCATCGACAGCAAAACCAAGTGCCACTCGTGGATCGACCTTGATTCATCATCAGCGAAGTCTATTTCACCACCATCCTGTCATACAATCAAACTACCATCCTCTCTGTGCCTCGACCAAACGCTTATGCCCTTTGCACCCTACCAGTGGCGTGCAGGCACAGGTTACATCCCTCCCAAGGACTCAGTGCCAATGCCAATCGCTCCCATGTACCAGACCTATGCGGGTCCACCCACTGCAAGCCCTACCTACGCTCACTGGATCGTGCAGGCTCCTGGGCAACAAGCCGTTGTTGCCGCTGAACCACCAGCTCCAGCTCCAGTCCCCAAGAAGAAAAAGAAATCCACTCCACCGCCACCTCCGCCTCCACCACCTCCTCCGCCGCCGGCTGCGTTGACTGTGGTATCTGAAGCAAGCTCGGCCCCCAAGACCATCGTCAAAGGAAGCGGATGGCGTATGGTAGGCAAATCAGCCGGCATGATCACCGTCGAGATCCCACCTCCACCACCACCCCAATCCGAAGCACCGCAGAAGGAGAAGGCGAAGAAGGTCGTCGTCGAACAACAGCAGCCGAAGAAGACGAAGAAGAGGATCGTGTGCATCCCGCCTCCTCCTCCTCCGCCATCCTGCTCCATCTCCCCTAGCGACTCCGTCTCGGCCCACTCCACCACCGGCAGCGGCACCAGTCTCGGCAGCGCAAGCAAAAAGTCTGGAAAATCCAAAAGCTGCCCGAACACTGCCACTACTACTACTACTACCACTAGGACGGAAATCACCATTAGCAGTAGCAAAAGGGGTAAATTGTCCCGACTCAATGTGTTGAGTCTTCGTGGAGGAGACGCGACAGTCGTTGCCGGAGGAGCAGAAGACACGGAGACGACGTGTCCGACGGTGTTGCCCGGTGTAAACTACATGTTCCCCCGCAAGAGGGAACATACAATTCTTCACATTTTCAACAAGGCTGCGCCGGTCTGGGAGGAAAAGTATCAGGGACAGGCTATGGCGTTCAAGATGTTCAAGGTCACGACGAAGTTTACGGTCAAGGTGAGTACTACAATATACCATATGGCGTCAGGATATATATTTGTTTGTGTGAGAGAGAGAGGTTTGAAGTATTGATCGTTCGGCTGACTGAAAGTTCAATTCTTCTTCCCAAACAGGACGTCATCGAAAGAGTATTGAAGAAAGAAGGAGGCGAGGCGTGTGATGGATGGGGTGCCACAGAGTGTCATGAGCAAGGGGAAGGATGTTGGAAGAAGGTCAGTTGAACTTTTTCTACATCACACCAAGTTCCTTTTGATATTTTGTGGCGAAAATGTGTGGATTGTATGCTGACTATTTTTTTTTTCTTCTTCTGTGGTCTCACAGGGCACTACAATCCCTTACAATAGCGACAAAGCTGCAGGTTCGTTGAGCAGCATGGGTTGGGATGCCAAACGTGGCAAGGAGAGAGGACCTGTCTGGTTGGTGGTGCACAAGGTCTAGTGCTGAGGAGACCTTTACTTGCCAGTCTGCTTGGTTGCAAGACTGTGTGTTTTTTGATTGTTCAGCTTGTTTCTGCTCGACATTTCTCACTGAGATTGATCACTCGATCGGACCTGCGAAATGCCTCATTACCTTAGTCAGAACGATGGCTTGTTTGCTTTTACTTCTGCTTTGCCACGGGGATTGGGGTCGGCGGTATGCTGGCATGTATCATGCGAAGTCAAGCATGGCCCTCGTGGCAGCTCATCACTGCTGAGATGCAGACATTACTCAGATGCTTTTATTGAGGTTGTGATCACTGGCTACTTAGTCAAATATTTGCTATATCGTCGAGTGATACTCCATTTGGCTCGGTCCAGATTCTGTTCAAGGCAAGACACCTCTCATCCCACGAGCTCTGTATAGACCATGTACGGTCAGTGCAGTGGCCGCCACTCCTGCCGCAACAGTAGCTACTGTCGCCCACGTAGGAGCTTGTTGCTGTGGGGCAGCTTGGGACTTTGTGTTACAGATGGTTGGAACAGACGGTTGTGGGCGGTGTTGGAAGGACCCTTTCTGTTCGAGCCAGCGGTCAAAGATGAAGTCGTGCTCCATTTTTGCTGGATATTCTGTCGAGATCAGCACAGTGAGTGTGCAGCCGTTGCGCTCTTATAATTTGAAGGTCACATATTCACGGCGTGCACTCCACACACGTCTGCTCGTGCGTGTACGCTATAGATACATCAGTGAAGGCAAAGACTACACGGGTAGCGGTGCTTAGTCGATGGTGGGAAGCGTCCCAAAATATAAAGGTCGTGGCAGAGCATACCCAATGCTGATGATGATGGCAGAGAGAGAGGATGAGAGAGAGACAGCCCTAGACTTCACTGCTGCTCCTGTGAGCATAGTAATCGCTCATTTATTGCCAGAGTAGCTCTCAGCGCTCGTGCGACGCAGGATCCGAGTCAGCCGTTCGTCCAAGAAACAGCCAAGTTGACCAAAAGACGAGTCGAAGCAGCATATGACAGTACCCGAACGTGTCCGCACATGAAGACGCTGTAGCCATATGCAGTACCATGGTCGGCGATAACAACAAAGGCTGTGTCAGCCTGGTGTCACATACGCCATGCAGAGATCTGCACGCCCCCCATGGAAGCATGCTGACCACCGAATATCAGTATTCACCGGTCAGCCAGTGTCTGCTGTGCGTTCACTCTCACAACGCGAGCGTGATGATGCTGCGGCACAATACAGCTGTAAAAATGATGATATGTGTGCCTTCATCGTACCGCAGACATACGTTGCACGAGCATGCCGCTGAGAACAGTGGCTGCATCATCGATCCCATTTTCATGGCATCCAGTACGGGTCGCATCCCATATGCATGAGCCCGCGCGCTGGTGAACGATGATTACATGTCAAGAGAGAGAGCTTCGATATAAGTAGTGTGCTTCCTTGCTGCCATGTGCGTCGCTGCTCCGGAACTCGAACAACAGGACAGCCTCTCGGTGTCACCGTCTCAGAGTCTAATCCGCCTTGCCTCGCACTGTACGACGGTGTAATCGTCCAAAATGGCAGAGACAACATCATCTGTAGGATTGGCCGCCACGATATTGGATCCGCGCGATGATGAGCACGAGGACTGGCCGTTGCGGCCAGATTCTCCCATCGATATTTCCATCATCAATTTCGATAGACGAACTCCCGATTCCCAGGCGGCCACGCTCGCAGGTCATCATCGCAGCTCGACCCCAGTCGTCATCAACTTTGACAGACGCGATACGCCCGACTCCATGGCAGCGACAAAGCGCAGTCGAAGATCTTCCATCACCGACTCTGGCGACTTTTCGATTGGGAACTTTTCTTTCGAGCAATTTCCGTTTCAGGGCGAACTGAAGGAGAAGCTGGACCATCATGTTCGGAGATCCCAAATCGGCGGAGCAAGTATCTCATCGGAAGAGGAAGAGGAAGAAGAAGAGCGGCGGCAGCAGCAGCAGCAGCAGCAAGGGGGCGGGGGAACTGTAGACGAAGAGGGCGAAAGAATCGAGGGGGTTCGCTCCGAAGACGATGCCTCCATATATCCGGACACCACGTCATTCACGCTCATCATGGTGGCTCTCTGTCTGGCCGTGCTTTGTGTAAGTGAACGAAAAGGCTTGAATGATGAATGACAGCAGAGGAGGTACTGATGTTCTGCGACTAGATGTGCCTCGATATGACAATCATTAGCACGGCGATCCCTCGCATCACAGACGATTTTCATGCTCTTGACGATGGTTCGTGAACGTCCCATCTTCCGAGGAGCAGGGGAAACGCTGACCTGTCCGCAGTCGGGTGGTATGCTTCTTCGTATATGCTGACATTGAGTGCATTTCAACTATTTTACGGCAAGCTTTATACCTTCTTCTCCGTCAAGTGGATCTTCATGATGGCCATATTCTGGTTCGAGATTGGCAGTGCCATTTGCGGCTCTGCGGTGAATTCTACGGCGTTGATCGTGGGAAGAGCCATTGCAGGATTTGGATCAGCGGGTATCTTCAGTGGAGCATTGCTGATCATTGCTGCGAGTGCGCCTCTGTCGAAGAGGCCTACGTACATCGGAATCCTGGGGGCCATGTATGGGATTGCCTCGGTGACCGGTCCACTCATGGTATGGCGTTCCATTTTTTTCACATGCACGCGCAGCTGCTCATTAAAGCTAGGGTGGTGCCTTTACGGATAAGCTCTCCTGGCGGTGGTGGTGAGTTGGACGTACTGCGATATGCTCCCATCGATTCCGCTGATACGCTCAGCTTCTACATCAACCTTCCCCTGGGGGCCGTCACCGTCATATTCATTCTCGTCTTCTACAGAGAGACCGAGCAGTCTCGTGCACAGATGCTCAACGATGGCTGGAAAGCTCGTCTCTCGCAATTCGACCTCGAGGGACTGGCGATTTTCTTGCCCATGGTAGGAGGACATTCTCTTGGAGCACATGGCCTTCTCAGAAGCATAGACTGACTTTTGAGCGTAGGTGATCTGCTTGCTCCTGGCTCTGCAGTGGGGAGGTGCCAAGTATCCGTGGTCCAGTGGTCGCATCATCGCGTTGCTTGTGGTCTTTGGACTCGCCCTAATAGCCTTCGTGGCGATTCAGTTCTGGAAGCAGGACAAGGCCACCGTACCCGTACGCGTGTTGAGGCAGCGCTCCATCGCAGCTTCATCATGGCTCGCATTCACGCTGGGAGCCTCATTCTTCGTCTTTGTAGGCGATATCGTGGTGGTACATGCAGTGTTGTTTGCTGACGATCATGACAGACATATTACATCCCCATCTGGTTCCAGGCGATCCAGTCGGCGTCTCCAGTACAGTCCGGCATTCGCAATATCCCGATGGTGCTGTCGGTGGTGGTCAGCTCGGCCCCCACCGGCGTGGCGGTGACATTGATCGGCTACTACACGCCCTTTGCGCTACTGTCCTCGGTGCTAATGCCGATCGGCGCAGGCCTGACTACGACTTGGACGCCCGATAGCAGCGCTTCCAAATGGATCGGCTACCAGGTTCTTCTGGGGCTCGGGGTGGGATTCGGGTTTCAGCAGACGATGCTCGCGGCGCAGACATGCCTGCCGAAGAAAGATGTTCCGATCGGGACGGCCATTGTCGTCTTTTTCCAGACGCTGGGTGGAGCCATCATCGTCTCGGTCGCGAACAACATCTTCTCCAGCCGATTACTGTCGGGTATCGTGCGGGTGGTTCCCGAGCTAGACCCGAGTATTGTGCTGAAGACGGGAGCGACGTCTTTGCGGGATGTGATTCCGGTCGAGTACCTCCCCGCCGTCATCAGTGTCTACAACGAGGTCAGTCTGAGCAGCATCCCGTGACTGAGCATCCCGTGACTTGAGACTTGATAAGATACTGACCTGATACCTGATACCTGATATTACAGGCACTCGTGGGCACCTTCTACGTTGGCACAGCCATGGCTGCACTGACCATCATCGGCTCGGCATTACTCGAATGGAAGAGTGTCAAGGGACAAAAGGTGCACATGGTAGCAGCCTGAGGCAATCAATACATGTACCCACTTTTATCGAAAAAAACTCAATCTTCCTTTCCCCGCAATCGGGATCGCCCTTCCTCGCGTCAATCTTGCTTCAAGTTCCTCTAAGGGCCTAGGCTCAATAGTCTATTTCGAGGGTACATGTACTTTGCACTCGCTTTCAAAGATACGTATATTCCCTCCCACGTGGACAATTGCTTCCAAATTATTCTTCTCTTACGGCGCGTATCCGAGTTGATGAAATCATCATCATCAAATCGGACATGCAGAAAGCTTGTGATGGATGGCGGTTTCGAGACTAGGAGCTACTTTTACTGCTTTGCTCCATGTACCCCGCATGGCACTGGACCACTTCCTGATCCTCTCTGCCCACACACTGAGGAGTGGGGAGCTCAGATCAGCGGCTGAGCCTCTAAAAGGAGTGGTCGAGGCGTACTCCGGCGATATGGAGGTTCACGCAACTCCTCGTTGATCGATGGGGTAAGAAACACCCCAAGCCGGAGACGGGCTGGAATGGATGGCACACGATGCCTGGTCCCGTCTATCTGGTATACATACATAGAGGAACGGAACCGTACCTGCTCGTGCAACATCTCTCTCTTCTGTGCTGCTCAGGTACCTACCAGTATTGATTAGGTCATCATTGATATCACGAAGAAACGACACGCGGATACATACACACTCCACCCGGGCCCATTCAGTATAGAAGATCGCAGCATGTCGGACGACAACAAGTATATCCGCTGGGATGCGGAGGGAGTCGAGGTGGAGCAGCCGGGTGAGAAGGAGAAGATTTGGGAAGTCTCGGAACAGTTCAAGCGGATGCAGATGATGAACTTCAATGAGCACCATCACTGCCTGCGGGGAACACACTTGAAGACGCAGGGCGTAGGTACCAACCATCCTTGACCCATGAGGCGACTCGTGCTGCTGCTGACAGACTGGGTTGGGTGCAGTGTGTGATTGGCAAGCTGTCCGTCCGCAGTGATCTGCCTCCTGTTCTCGCTCAGGGCATGTTCAAAAAGGCGGGAACCTATGACTGCATTATGCGCTATTCATCCCTCACGCCCAAACTGGTACCAGACAACGTGCCAGCCCCACGGGGAGTGGGCCTCAAGGTCTTTGGGGTCGAGGGAGAGAAGATCTGGGGAGAGGATAAGAAGACACAGGATTGGACATTTAACAACTACCCCGTTTTGGAACTCCGCACTCCTGTGGCGACTTGCGAAATCGCAGACAGCCTCGAGAAGAACTGGAATCAGCTGGACAAGTTCGTCGACTACCTCAAGTCGCGCGACGATCACGAGGTCGCATGCGCACCCGCAGCCATTCCCCGACAGCACAGTGAGTCTCTTTTTCACTTTGGGAGATCTGAGGTGCAGAATAAGAGAATGAAGAGAATGAAGAAGAAAAAGAAGAAGAAAAAGAAAAAAGTCTAACTCGGCACAGTGGTGGCAATGACCCAGTGGTCGCAATCCGCATATCGATATGGCAACAATGTGGCCAAGGTCGCCCTCTTCCCCGAAGGCGAGGAGCAGAAGAAGCTGGAAAAGGAGTACATCGATGACGACGCTGCCATCAACATTCTCTCGCAGCACACCCGAGCATTCCACCAGAAGCACAAAGTCACCTACTCTTTCAAGGTGCAATTGCTCGAGAACTTGGCAGAACAGCCCGTGGACGACATTGGCGTCGAGTGGGATGCGAACAAGTACCCCTGGCACGAGGTGGCACGACTGGAATTCGACCCTCAAGATTCGTGGCTACCAGAATTTCGAGTTTGGTGAGACATGACCCGCTTGTGCTACTCCGTCGTGTGATGAGGGGATTCGAGTTGCTAACGCGGGCTGTGCTCTCCTCTAGGTGGGACGACCAAATCACAGTCAATGGCTGGCACGGACTGAAGGAGCACCAGCCTCTCGGCAGCTCCAACCGGATGCGCAGAGTGGTGTATGCAGAGAGCAGGAAGCTTCGTCTGCGTGTCAACGGATACAAGGACTACATCGAGCCTGCCAGTTTGGCCGAAGTACCAGCACCCATTCCTGCTCTTCTCCAGAAGATCAACCCCGAAGCCGGCCAGAAGGTGGCATATTCGGCAGACTTGAAGGTGTAGTGCTTGGACTGGGGCTTTTTCATTCTTGTTATACTAGTCGCAGTGTTGTTATTCAATACAACTTGATGCCGGTATATGTACATGTCTGCAGATTGGCATCACTCGTGTGTTTCACAGCGCTACTGTCCACGCGCTCACAGGTCGAGATGCACAAGTAAGGTAAGGTGCCTACATGTATATGTAGCGATTCTTGGTTGTCGCATATGACGTTGCAAGGATTCCTCACTGTGGCCATTCAATCAGGCAGAACATTTATCCCGAGCGGAAATCATCGAGGGTCGACATTGGAAGACCTGGTCACCAGAAGAGATGCTTTGGGAAGTGCGTCTGCGATGGGTCGCCATGCGTCGCTGCACCCGCTTTCTCTCTTCCCGGTGAAGGTGGCCAAGGTTGACTGGGCGGCTGCATCTGCGGCTGCGGCACCACGTGTTGATGTTGATGCTGCTGCTGTTGATGTTGATGATGTTGTTGTTGAGCGACACGCGTGTGATTGGATATCGAGAACAAGGCCTCGCCGGCTTCTCTCGTCTCTTCGCTATAGCGCCGCTCCGTGCGGGCGGCGGCAGTAACGTGCTCCGTCTGCGGCCAGGCGTCGTGTTGCGTGTGGACGGCAGAGGAGGTCGCTGGGAAGGGGTCATTATGGTGGATGGCGGACATGGCAGATCTAGCAGCAGAAGGGGTGGAAGAAGAGGGCGAGGGCATGACAGCGACAGCGACAGTGCCATCGCGTGGGGGGGCATGATAGGGCGGCCGTGTTCCTGCTGCCCCTTCTACTTCCAGGGAAGGATCGTAGACACTTTGGGGTTGTTGCTGCTCGGGCTGAGCCGCGGGCGTCGAAGTCGTCGATCGGTAGGATTGACGCGCCTTCTCCCACGCGCGGATAGAGTCCAGTCTTGTCAAGGGAAAGTGCGACCAGTGCTCCTGCCCAGACATGGCACTGCTCCAGGTCTGGTGGCTCGGGGCATGGGCAGAAGTGGCGGCGTGGCGGTGCAGCACATCCAGCAGTTCGGCGTCAGTCACGCGTGGCAAGAGTGCCAGCAACAGGCGCTCTGTTTCCTGTAGACGGTCTTGCAGCGAGCGCAGGTAGTCCTTGGCCGGCCCTCTATTGCACCCACGCCTCCATCAGCCTACTGGACACTCAACACTCGCCCCTGCCCGTGCTTCTCCCAACGACTGGCGTCTATTGTAGAGAACACGTGACAAACACACGATACACACACACACGCACACACGCACCGCTTCTTCGTCTCACTCCACCAGCACTCCTCGTTGTGCAGCCGACACTGATCACACACGGGCCTGGACGCGCACATGTCCGTCAGTAGTAGTAGTCATGGTAATGGTAGTAAATAGCCAGGTGAGGTAGGTAGGTATGTAGGTACACACCTTTCTCCACTACACTTCTGTCTTTTGCCACGGCACACAGCGCACGCAGCGGTGATACGAGAGCGCCGGGGCTTGTCAGGAGCTGAGGTCGGCATGTGGGATAATAGCTCACGTGATGGATATGGTGTGCTGATCTCGTCTCGTGTGGTCTTGTCTCGTCTCGTCTCGTGTCGTGCAGTCGGAGGCGAAGGCGGTCATAGGAGGTAGAGTGGAGCAAGGCAAGGGCAATAGAAGAGGCAGAACTCGCTTGGTCGTCCTACAGTAAGGTATGTATGGCCGTACTAAGATGGGTACATGTAAGTGAGGTACAGGTAGTATAGGTACATGTACTATAGGTGGTAGAACAGGACGAGTAGAGGTAACGCTCGGCAAAATAAAAAGCCAAGACTCCGGGAGAACTCTTCTCCTCTCGGCCGAATGCAGAATAGTGTGCCAAGAGAAGTACCTTGCCTGTGCCTGATAGCCTGACCACCATGTCGAGTCTCGCCTCTGCCAGGCCTGGGCTGGCACTACCTCCAATCCTCCCTGACCTTACCTCCAGGTACTGACCGACTCGGACTCTCCTTTCCACTTCAAGCTTCCTGCAAGCATGTGATACATACCACCTACAAGGCTGAGTGAGGTATGGATGCATCGGCAGCCGACACGACTACATCGCCCGCCAGCACCACCATCCACAGCACCAACAGCAGCACACAGGAGACTGGCAGCTTGACCCAGCAGTCGCCGCACGAAAGTCGCTTCATTGGCAGCAGTAGCGGCGTATACTTCATCAATACCGTCAAGCAGGCCTTTGAAACCTCCAGCCGCCTGCCTGCTGCCGAGGAGACAGTGGGTGGCGAAGACGACTTCGCCCCCTCCGCGCGCAATTCGCCCGAGAGAGGTGCGCCAGAAGCATTTGAAGTCCACATCAGCAGCCAGAGGACCATCGAGGTCAACACTTCCGCCCAGCTGGGCTCGCTCCCGCCCTACGATGCCGCCCAGTTGATGACCATCGAGTACTTCAAAGTCTGGCATCCCATCGTGCCCTTTCTGTCTGGAGCCGCATTTCTGGAGGACTTGGAGCTTTTGTACCGCGACCCACGCACCGCGAGAGGCTCTGGCCGAGTCCCCGCCGACAGGCAGAAGCTCTGTGCTCTCATCATCTTCCAATGTGTCATCGCCGTCGGAGCCTCTGCTCTCCCCGCCGAACACGCTCCTCCCTCCGCGCTGCCATCGAGATCCAATCTCCTGTCTCTGGTGGCCGCACTCGCTTCCCGACATGACATTTTGACCGTGCAGACTCTTCTTGCTGCGCAGGTCTATTGCGTCTCCACCCTTGCGCTCCGCACCGCCTCCTCCATTGGTGGACTCTTATGTAAGCTGTTGTTCCATGCCGGTCTGCATCGATGCCCCTATCGCTACCCTCAGCTGTCCAACGAGGACCGTGATCTCCGCAAACGCATCCTCTGGAGTGCATACGCCCTGGATCGCTATCTCTGTCAAGCTCTCGGCATCCCCGTGAGCTTGTCGGACCGTGAGATCGATGTGTGTCAGTCGGGTAGGCAAGAAATACACGGGTCCCATTCGGTCGATCGCAACTCCCTTCCCATGCTTACTCCCCAAGTATCCTATTCCCATGGCAATGCGCCAGCGATACCCAATATCGAGACGGAAGTACTGTCCAGAGGCACCGCTTCGGCCTATGCAGAGACTCCGGCCACCCACAACTCACAGGAGAATAATAAGCTCGAAGTGATCTTGGCCAACTTTGTCGACTACGGCAAACTTGCCGGCAGAGTCATGGACCTATACCACATATCGCTACACTCTCGTCACCATGATCCGAGCAAAGTCCTGTTCTTGCGCTCGGACGTCGATCGATGGTTCAACAGCATGCCCGAAGAGCCCGTATACGCATATGGTGGTGTCAATGGAGCAGACGAGCAGATCGTCCGCTTTCTGCCGTTTTTGCACGTTCTCTACGAGCAGTTGAAGATCTCGATTCATCGGCCGGCTCTGTCATTGCCGCGGTCGTCGCCCGAATTCCATCATGCTCTCCAAGTCACTATTCGTGCTGCCAAAAGAACCATCTTAGCACTCGAGCGACAGTCTCAGCTCTTCTGGCCGGGCTATGTGGCCTCGGTCTGGATGTCGGGTCTGATCATCTCCTTTGCCTGCCAAATCGCCCTGTACAACACCTCACAAGGCTCGCAAGAGATCGTGCGCTGCCTCGATCTTCTGCAGCGCATGGGAGAGCGATGGCGAAGTGCGCAGCGGTGTCATGCTGCACTTTCGACATTACTCTCGGACTTACAGAAGACACATCAACGTGCCCGACCTGATACGCCGTCTGCAGATCCTGCTTCCACACGTCCCGCCAAACGACAACGGCCTGACGGTGGTGCGGGATTCGAATGCGGCCGTGGGCTCATGTCAGTGTCGCCGACTTCTCATACTGACACCCCAGACCATAGCAAGTCTGTGCCGCCGCGAAACACAGGCTTCGCCACTCCCATGTCACATCTTCATGCTGGAGATGGCAATGTCAACGACTTCTTCGCTGATATCAGCTGGGAAAACCTGTTCGACATCGGAGACATGGCACAAGATTCCGACATGCAATTCTTCGGACAAGGCATCGCACCTACAGGGATGAAGTAAGGTCAGCCAACGTAGGAGTACAAACTCAATACCAGATCCCGCTAGGTATTTGCCCTAGTGACGATGACAAGCTGCCAGAGCGCTTTGGCCTCTGCATCAAGCCTCCGCCAAATCACCCTTCGCAGGCGATCCAGATGTGGTACATTGCTTGTTCCATCCCTTCACGACTGCATCGCCAATACTAGCGAATTGGCGCCATCTCGACTCGAGCCAAGGTACTGATATGCCAGGAGATTGAAGCTCGTGTGGGCAAGGCAGATGCGAGTATCAGAAAAGCCATTAGCCACATCTGGCTCTCGACCACGATCAACCACGAAGCCATCCCGTACACTCACGTGCTCGGTAACCTTCTGCAAGTACCCTCAAATTGGCTGCCTCTACTCGTGAAAGAAGCCCAGGAGTTTGTATAATGTAGTGGCACGCTAGCTGGATACATAATGCTGCCTCGAGCTTCTCCAAGCTCTTCGGTGAAGTGGAGCGCCATGTAAGTACCTAGGCGTTTCTTGACTTCATAGGCTTTCCTATACCGGATTCGGTAGATTTCGAGTGCTTTTGCGCTCCCGACGATTTATTGTCATATATCACGTCCGTATTCGGTCTCGCCATTGATCCTGTTGGAAGTTGCCGTCCTAGTGGTCTTTCTTGAATACAAGGAAGCGATGGACTCCGAAGCTCCTGCTGGAAGACTCTTGCGTTCAAACTCGGCAGTCTCTGCTCAAGCTTCTGAGATACTACACTGTCTCAGCACTTCTCCTCGGCATATTGTAGCGCTCCGAGTCTAATGTAGGTAATACAATAGATTTGCTCGCAATAAATCGCTCCTGTAGCGTGTTCTTCAATTCACGCCCTTGATTGGGATAGAATTGCGCAATTCGTGTATTGGGTTGCGCCTCTACGAACCGAGTACTGAAGTCTCTTACCCAGGAGCCGTAATCGTAGCCTGCGTGAAGGGTGTTGTTGATACTTTGCATTCCAGGGAGAGTTCTATGCACTTTTATGAAATACTCAGCAAGTTGAATTGCTCGCTCACTCGAGCATACGAGCTGTGAAAGAACTCATGCCTTGTCTGGAAGATCTGCAAATGAAGCTCACCTGCGCACGTTCTATCATACTTTCTTTTCTCCTTTCCCTCTCCCGTGACTTTGAAAGCACTCCCCATCATCCTTGCATTGCGAGTTACATGGAACTCATTCACGTCGTCGATAGGCAGCACTCTCTCAGAGTGCAAAGCATAGACATCACAAGACAAACCCCCGAGGCACTACCTTCAAAACCACCATACTATTCTTCCTTCGAATAACTAGTCCCTTCCTGACCTCTCCCCCTTTACCTCCCTCCGACCATGCTAAACTTCGTTCAGACTATCAGTAAACATAGGTACTACTGCTTACCGCCCTCAATAGCACCCACAAGATGATCTTCCAAACGATCAATCCTCGCAACAAGTACCCTTGCAAAGCCATCGAAGCCATCTGAGAAGCGATTAGAGAGTGCTTCCACATGTTCGATCAATCGATCAATATCCCCCGAGTCTGTGGGATGTGTGGTAGGGCGGGTATTCGTGCAAAAAGGGGCTTGGGGTTGCGAGGCAGCAGAGGCATCTCGAGATGATGATGATGACATGTTTGAATCAAAGGGGGAAAGGGGGGTGGAAAATGGGCTCTAATCTGGAATTAGGAGGACCTTGCGTTGCGGGAAGATGTTATTTAACTACGGTGTCTTTCTTTCTTTCATACTCTGTGATTGTATTGGATTGGATTGGTGGTGTTGTTATTCACGCTTGCGTGGTCTGTTGAGGTATGGAATATGTGCCATGTTTCATCCTCTAGTGTGAATGCGACCGCGCTGCTCTAGTCCGACTCTTTAATAGAGAGAACTACAGGCGCTATTGAGAAAAAAACTTGAAAAAATTTGAATAAGTGAATCTTTACCTGTGTTATATATAATCTCGACTTCGTGCACTCCGCTAACGCGCTTACCTATTTGTATTACTCTAGAAGCTTCGCCTGCGTACCTTGTAGGTATATATATATACAGGTATATTTGCTTGCAAGTGGTCCACTTCAACTGCTCCGGATGTTTGCTTGCAAGTGTAAGGTGACTAGTCCCCTTGCCAACAGGGGTTTTATCAAAAAGATGATTCCACTCTTCTCTAAGCCTCAACATAGCAAATCTTCCTCTCTCTCTCTAACTCAACATCAAGAATACATGTAACAGTAACCCACAAGAAAAGCCATGATGACCTCAAACCCATCCCGACACGACCAGGAGCTGCAGATGCTCCAAGCAAGAATCGCCGCCCTGGAAGCGAACCTCTCGATCTTCGAGCTCATCTTCAGTTAAGTCGCGCCAAACACCACGTGCAGCAGTCCTAGGATGTAATTCTGACACCCTCCAGAAGTGGCCAAGGAGCGGTGGCCGATCGTCTGGGAGAAAGCCATCACCATGAAGCCCGACGTGAGCTTGAAAGAGGTATACGAGATCCTGGAGCTCGACGAAGACTACTACACTCTCACCGCGCGAATGCCCACGGCGTCCAGGACGGGCCCGCTATATCGTCTCATTAGTATGAAGCAACGAGATGGATATCGTGAGACTCTGCAGGCGATGCTGGCGCAAATCAAGAAGGAGGTGAAGGCGGGAGAGCATGGTGGACCAGAGGGGATTCTCGTTTGTGTCTTGAAAGTGGCGAGAGATGCCGATGAGGAGGAGGAGGAGGATGATGTTGATGATCGAGTACGAGGGGGGGATCGTCAGAGCTGCAGAAAGCATGACCAGAGGAGCAATGGACTGGCTTTTGCATGAGAGAATGCCCCATGTCCGCAACGCGATGTTTGCTCTCTTACCTCGACGATCGAGACATGTAGGCAGCCAGCTCACAAGCTCTGGGCAGACGAGGGAAGACAGAAGGTCGACAGACGATGCTGAAGAAGGTCTCTACGATGTGATGCTCAGAGACAGCAGAGGCGGGCAGTTCAAAGGTCTTGAGCAGCCAATAGTGCTCAGAGTGCGTGCTTGCATCGTGACTGTTTCCGGAAGATGTCGATACAGTTTCAGGCTGGTGAAATTTCATTGCCACCCATTCCCTCACACCCTCACACCCTCACACCCTTACTTCTCAAAAGATTCATCACACTCCCCGCCTGAAAGCCCATCCACTCCAGCGTCCCTCCCACCGCACTCCCCAACACCCTCACCTCCTCCAACCTCCGATCCAAAAACTCCTCGGTATCCCTAAACTCCGTACTCTGATCCCTCGTCTGAAACACCTCGGTAGCAGCATACACGGCACTCAAACTCGCCCGTTTCGTATACCACGACGAATCCACACTGGTATCACCTGCCAGAAACCACATTTCATCGCTCAACAGGCCCAATTCTTTTACACTCGCGGGAATGTTCTCGGCCAGAGACATGAGTCCTAACGCGTGCGTCCATTGCGGGACAATGCCCGCATCGACATTTGCTTGCAGACGCGCGAGAATCAAACTTCGCACTTTCTGACCCACGCCAAGTTTTTGATGTTGTCCTCCTCCTCCTCCTCCTCCTCCTCCTCCTCCTCCTCCTCCTCCTCCTCCTCCTCCTCCTCCTCCTCCGACTGGATCGTGGAATTGAATGCGGTCTTTGAGTGCGAGGCGTTGGGTAATGAGGTAGAATTGTACCAAATCATAAGGGCCTTTGGGAAAAAGGTTCGTGGAGATATCGAGGTAGCCGTTCTCTTTCGCTCCAAGCGTCAGGGACTGCAGCGTGAATCCTGAAGTGGGCACATGTTGCAGGGCAGATGTGAGGATGGCTGTTTGTGGTGCGGGATAGGGAGGCGGTGGGATGTGTTCGTAGGAGTGGTACAGAGCTCTCTGCGGTTGGAGCATCAGAGGGCGGAGTGCCGCAGGCATGCGGAGAAGGGTTTTCAGTGACATGGTCTCGTTGCTTTCGGTGTCGTTGTTTTTGGCTGTGGTTGTCGTGATGGCATACTTCTAGAAGTACACTATACCTGTGGGTGTGTGTGGAGAGAGATGAAGTCAGGACAAGGTCACGTGCAGATATCGAACTATGGCCCGGACTGGGCGGGCGGGCGGCAAACGCTGGCATCAACAAGGTCACAGGTGCGATGTAACAAACAAAGTACGATGTAACAAACAGTATTATTCCTGCAATGTCGTCGTGTTTGATCTGCTGGAATCACTTGCCGACTGGGCATTTTTTGACTCACACTAGCTGATGTTGCGGAACGAGGTACGAATAGTCCATTCAGCGTTCGCCTTTCACTGGGGAGCCTCGCGAAGCATTCCATGTGTTCGTATCTGGTGTAGAAAGTTACCTATACGAGATGCAATCTCGCGCTCATTGTTGCTCTCCATACAGTAGTGAATGACAAGCTATGCAACAATACACCTGTGGATCGTGATCATTCATCGACGTCGTAGCCCGTGTCACTCATGACCTAAAGGCGTCCAAGACAGCTCTTCTCAATGGCTAATATACTGGAACACCGCACTGACATCCTTCTCGGAACACTCCTGTCGCAACAGCAGATCTTGTATACGGCTCATCGCTCCGCTCGCGCCATCGTTCGTGAAGTGGTTCCAGGTGCTCGTATCGCCGTACAGCATAGCTGGAGCTTTGAGCACTTGTTTGCCGTTCTTACACCGCTTGCACTTGAACGTGTCGTGTGTATCGCTCGTTGTGCCAGGTCGGTATTGGAAGAGCTCTCGCAAGGACTCCGTACTGAAATGTCTCTCGACGTCTTCTGCCGAGTCGACGACGCAAGACGAAAGCGCCTGTTTGTGCGACTGCCGTTGAAAAATCTTCTCCTCAATGGTGCCAGCCGCCATGAATCTGTATACAAAGCAGTCCTTCTTCTGCCCATCACGCCAAACACGCGCAAGGGCTTGTTGGTCAGCAGCCGGGTTCCAGTCGGGATCGAAAAGAATGAGTCGATTAGCACCAATGAGGTTGAGTCCACACCCTCCAGCTTTGGACGACAGTAGGAAGACAAATTCTGCTCCATTGGGGTCGTTGAATTTATCGACGAGTTTCTGTCGCTTGTTGACGTTCATGGTACCATCTAGGCGCAAGCATCCATACGAGCGACTGCGGCATAGCTTTTCAAAGACGTCCAAGGTCTGGGTGTAATTGGAGATTAACACAATCTTGTCGTTACTATCCATGCGAATTCGAGCAAGCATGCGGTCCAGCACCTGCATCTTGCCAGAGTACACTGGATTGACTTCCCGATCACGGCCACGCTGATCTTTTGGAACGTATTCCTCTGGGAAATGCTCTTCCGATCCAGGCAGGTCATCCGGAAGATTGAGCAGATCTGGATGATTGCACAGCTTCTTCAACAGACCAATTGCTTTGAGTGGTTGACTCCCTTTGCCTCGTAGAAGACTCTGGATCTCTGGTGACTTGATGAAATAGTTGTATAGATCCAGCTGGAAAGGTGCGAGGTTGCAGAAGACCACGTGCTCGTACTTGACTGGCAGATACTTTGATAGAATATCGTTCGTACGCCGTATGATGAACTTGTTGACAAGCGTGAGAAGCTCCTTCAGACGTTCATCGCCTTTCTGTCTGTCAGCTTCCGTCCCGTCAGCATCTCGTCCTCGCAGAATTGGGTTCTCAAACTGCTTGCGAAAATCTGCCTGGGTGCCCAGGTAGCCGGGGTTGGCGAAGTTCAGCAAGGAGAAGTACTCAGACAAGTCATTTTGGATCGGAGTACCCGAGAGGATAACTCGCTTCTTCACGTTCAGGCCAGCCAGAGCCATGTACGTCTGAGACTCGCTGTTTTTGAGGCGATGGCCTTCGTCGCACAGCATCAGACCGATCGGCGTATTACGCAGCTCATCGACATAGAGACGTAGCGTCTCGTAGGATATAATGAGCACCGGTCGGACCACTGCACGACCACTGGCTGATGCCCAAGCACGCATCTGCTGTGTCATCTGCTCTTTGGAAGCTTTACCGTCCACTGCGAAAGGCTCAATTGCACCCTCGCCGAGCCACTTGACCAGCTCGTTCGCCCAGTTGCGAACCAAGCTGGCAGGGCATGCGATGATGCACTTCTGTATGGTACTCTTCCCAGCATCCGGCGATTGTTTCAGTAGTGTCCACATGAGCGTGATACACTGCAAAGTCTTTCCCAATCCCATCTCGTCTGCCATGATGCAGCCCTCCGCGTTCGCATCGATCAGGCCGGTCGTGCACCGGTATAAAAATTTCACTCCTTCGACCTGATGCGGTCGTAGCACTTTCGCTAGGCGTGGGTCAATCACAACAGGCACCTTGGGACGCTCGTCCACCACGACCTTCTTGATCCCTAATATCTCGGCCAAGCTCTTGTGCATTATAGGCTCGTCCATCACTGGCGTGCTACTCGGTGCCTCTCCATCCTTATTCGCCCCATCTGACTCATCGGATACCAGTGGTTGTGGCTTTCCGTCGACAGTCGGATCGAACAACACGATTGCAAACTCGCCACTGGGATCATGGAGCGGCTTCGCAACAAAGACGGTGCCTTGTCTGAGACCGAGCAGCGGCGGGGGACGTGAGGGGTTCCATGCGCCAGTGTCCTTGTTCTTCATGGGCACTGCGAACTTGGTCCGGAACATGGTATCCTTATCCTTGGGTTTGAAGATGGGAAAGCGATTGACGTCTCGTGTCGCGAGCGCCAGGCGATCATCGTTGGTATAAGGCTTCTCTCCGTCCTCGATGCTGTTGTCCGCGCCGCCATAGTCAACCCTCCGTCGCTTGCGCGCCGGCTTCTCGGACGCTCTGGTGGGCGTACTCGATCCGGGACACTTGAACGGCTTGATCAGGCGGTCTGCGGTCAATGGCGTTCCGCCGTACATGCGCGTGCGATTCTTCGTCGACGGTGGCGGCACATTCTCTTTGTCGGCGACGGCGATCATCGCGTTGGTGTAAATGGTGTTTGTTGTGGCAAGTCTGAGCCAAACAAGGTCGTCAATCGCCACTGGGGAGACGAGGGAAGGTTTAAGCAGGGAAGAGGACGCGACGCGACGCCAGGCGGCGAAAACGCGCTAGAGCCGAAAGACACGTGATCAACTCCTGATGACTCCTACAGGCGATGAACCGCCACCATTCTTACGGGAAACTACCTCCTACCATTAAACACATATTGCATACATCGTTACCGACGGACCTCTACATCGATATAGCCACCACCTGGGACCACGGGTGGTACAGAACGTATCATCAACCTCTCAGCGACACAAGGTCTCTACGCCGAAACCCTTATTTCTTCACTCGCTGCCATTTGTTGCAGCCTTTTCATATGCTATCATATGCTGAAGGTAGCATATTCCACTGGGCGGCGTTTCGACTTCGCCATTGTGATCTAGGCTAGCAGCAACTCAAATTGGCCTTGGAAACAGAGGTCGTGTAGTTGGTTAAGGTACCTAATAACATATGAATGCCTTTTCGCGAGTTCGGGGGTGGATCTGCCCGAATCTGTCCTAGCCGGCTTTGGTCGCGACCTCGCCATGTGAATTGTAGATACATCTCAAAAAAAGAAAAATTCGCCCTCCAGACAGTGACACACGACTTTCATACCGACCCATGCGGCTCCCAACACCACCATCATCTACTACTGTATGCAGACCATGGCGACCTTGAGCTCCATTCGCTCCTTGACGCTGGATCTGCCGCCGAGTTGCATACAATTTTGTCCGGGCAAACCGCACATTTTCGTGGTCGGGACCTATTTCCTGCATGCACCACCAACATCCGAAGTGGAAGCTTCGAGCTCTCCCAATGAAAAGATAGAAGCCCGCCAAGCTGCGCAAAAACGAACGGGGAGTCTCGTGCTGTACGAGATGTCGCCAGAGAATATCATGTAGGTACCTAAGAAAAAGAAATGACTGCCTTACACTCACTCCCTTACCACTCCCTTTCTTGTCCTATCCTATCAAGTCCGTTGCAAAAGCAATGAGCAAGAAAAGACTGAAACCCCCCTCCCCTTCTTCCCTCATTGACAATTTTCTTTTTTCCCAATTCTCCGATCCCAACAGCACCGAAATACAAAGCCTCGCCACAGACTTTGCGATTCTCGATATCCAATGGACACCGCATTCCGAACTCGTAGGCGGCGATTTGCTCGCGGTTGCAACTTCAACAGGGATTCTCGCATTTTACCGGCTACAACAACAACAAGAACAACCCAAGCTCGTCTTATCGCATGTGCAGCACATCACCGATGATGACACGACATTGGTGCTGTCACTCACGTGGCATCCTGTCCGGGCTGGTGTTCTCGGGTTGACGCTGTCCGATGGAAGAGTTTGTGTGTGCACGAGCACGAGCACGAGCATGGGCACTGGTAGTGGTAGTGGTAGTGGTAGTACAGAAGAAGATGATACTGCAGCTGGGCTTTGGAGCCAGGATGCTGCAGTGAGCTTGCAGGATGTGCACGAGCATGAACTTGAAGCGTGGATGATGACTTTTACGCTAGAGAGTTTGAATGTGCTCTCTGGTGGCGATGATATGGTTTTGCAGTGCTCTCACGTTGCAGACGATGACGGTGATGATGATGAGTCTGAAGAAGACGCAGAGCAAGAAGAAGACAAACTCGAAGACGAGCAGCATATCCAGAAGACGAACAAGAACAAGACTAACCTCCTCTGGCAAAACCGCAAACTTCACCACGCCGGAATCACCGCCATTCTCCCCCTTTCAGAAACTCTCATAATAACAGGAAGTTACGACGACCACATCCGACTCTTACAACTTCCGAAAATCCCCGGCGACACCAGACCTAAACTTCTCGCAGAATTGAACCTCGGAGGTGGTGTGTGGCGTTTGAAGCTTCTGACAATAAGAGGAGGAGCTTCCTCTTCTTCTTCTTCTTCTTCTTCTCAGCGAGATGATGACTCTGCTAATGCAGCTGAAAATAAATCCTCGTCAGACTCGACAGTGTCAGCCTTACGGCGCAGCTGCAGCAGCAGCAGTATTACAAGGTACGCGCTTCCATCCTTCTGTCGTTGTTGTTATTCCACATCCACATCCACATCCCCAATCCACATCCTCTTCCTTTCGAATTTCAAAAATAAAAAATCTCTTCTTTGCCCCTGTCAGCCTCATCAGGGCTGGTGTCAGTCGGTCAGTCAGTCAGCCTGCCTGCCTAGACTGCTGCCGCCGTGACGCAACACGATTTTTTTTTTAATTTTCCCTCTACTAAACTAAACTAACCCAACCATCCATCCACCCTTCCTTGCTCCATAGTTTCATCCTCCTCTGCAGCTGTATGCACGCCGGAACTCGTATCGTGCAAGTCATACATGAAGAGAAGAAGAAGAAGAAAGAAGATAACGATGAAGAGGAGTGGAAATTTCACGTCCTGGCCAAATTCGAAGAACATGAGAGTATGAATTATGGGAGTGATGTCCAGCCTGACTTGAAGGAGAAGAAAAAAAAGGAGAAGGAGGAGAAGGAAAGGAAAAAGATTGTTAGTACAAGTTTTTATGATAGACGATTATGTTTGTGGACTGTGGAGATTTGATGAATGAATGGGATGGGATGATGGGGATTGTGAGAAAAGGTCGTGTTGTAAGGTACATGTACTTAGGTAGGTGTGTATTGAGGTATTAAACAGTACCTACCCACCTTCCTTATCTCATCTTAGTCGATCGATACCTTCCCTAGGCAACTCAGTCTTTCAAAAAGTCGTTTCGTCGATTATTGGTTTCTTGCTCCATTAAATCCATCCATCCATCCATCCATCCATTCCAGCTAGGTAGGTAGCCTTTAACTAGGTAGATAGGTAAACAACTCCCACAATGTATCATATATTTCCCATTCCAATCCATTCCATTCCATTTCGTACATGACACATCACATTCATCTTTAGCCAATTCATCATCACGTCAATAGTACTTCAGTTACCTGTAGGTAGGTAGGTATAATCCTCAAAATCCCCCTCCCCCCTCCACAGACCCGACCCGATCCGATCCATAATACACGTTCCCTTCTCCCTGCCCAAACGAAAAAAAAAAGTTACCGGCCCCGAGCTCTGCTCCTTAGTGGTGTCGTTCGACGCGACAGTCGACAGGAACTTGATGATGATGATGATTCTGTAGTTGATCAAGAAGAAAGAAAAAACAGTTACCCTCTGATATGATATTTTATGGTTCTCCAGGTCCGCTAACCTTGATCTGTGGCATGGGAGGAGGAGGAGTGCCATTTTCATTGTTGACTGCTCTTCTCCATTTCAGGACGGGGATTCGTTTGTCGCCCTGTGATTTACATGCGTCAATTCTGTGGAAAGGAGGGGGGCGGGGGGTCATTTTTGAGAGAGAGTTCTCCAGATTCTTTTTTCTTTGGCTCACCTTGACTTCTGTTGGCTCTTCGCTGCCAAGCACGAGGACCTGACCATCTTCCTCGAATCGATGCGTTCGAACTTGAATGTCTCCGATCCAGCCGGGTAAGCTGCAACATTGAAAGGTATGTCTGAGGATTTCTTCTCGACCGGGCCCCTCGTTGGTGATGTAGTACGGCCCACAGTATGCAAAGCATCGCTTGCCCGCTTCTGCCCACTGTGGCTCTTCTCCTTCTCCTCGCTTGAAGCTTTGTTGACCGGGTATCAACATCTGCGCGGACATGTATCCATCGGGAGTATACATGATGTAGCCCGTCACACTTCTCGTCATGGGATACGTCAATCGTTGGGTCCGGGAGTTGGGTGTGGGATATGCAATATATGATTCGAGTTTCCACGCGCCAATGAGTTTCTGTCGCAGTGACATTCCCGGAGGAGGCGTGGGCGTGGGTTCTCGGGCATAGAGATCTCCGTTGAGGTCGTCGTAGCTCGTGCTCATGTCAGATATGAGCGAGTCTTTCCTTTCCACAGCTGGCGCAGGCGAAGCCGCCCCCAGCACGTATGGCGTCGAATCTGATGCCAGCTTGTTCGTGTAGACGCTATGTAATGATTGTGTTCGGTAAGGCTCGGGTCGAAAATATCGGGGCGGCGATGGAGCTCGGAAGCTCAGTTTTTGAGGCGAGACAATCACCTGTGTCGGCGATGAGACTTCACTTCGAGTTTCCATAGGTCCTCGGGTCCGGGATCTCGAGCGAGCTTTCTTCGTAGGCAAGAATTTGGGCACTTGCAGATACTCTGTAGCGGTCGTTGTGGACATGGTCGCTTCCGTCACCAGTGCAGCAGATCTAGGGTCATAGAGGATATACAGTAGCGATATGAAGGCAGCATGGATGAGGATCACAACCCCGCAAGTAGAAATGTATGTGGGGAGAAAAAGAGAGTTAGAGGGTGCGAAAGAGAGAGATTAACCGACCTGATATGGAGGGCAGCAGAGTGATAGTCCGGTAATGAATGTATGACGCCGGACGGGACGAGGTGGTGACCTGTGCGCTTCACGATGGATACAGTACGACAGCCAGGCCATCCGCCAGTCAGATCAGCGGCTGGGTTGGAGGGCGGGAGGTTTCAGCTCGTGCTTTCAATCCCTCTGCTCTAGCACTGGCACTGGCACTGGCACGATGAGGTCGACCACAATCATCATATGCGATTATGCGCGCGACCATGCACATAGTACCCTGCACCATGCACCATGGACCATGCACAGAAGGTGGGCCGCAGTTCTGTAGATGGTGCCGAGGAGCCGCACTTAGGCACGGATATGTAGCCCATTCTCCCAAGTCCGATGGACACAAGAGGCGTGACGATGGCGGAGTCGACGGGCGCCTCTGCCCGGTGCATGGTCTCTCTGCATGTATTGGGCGTTTGGTGGATTATTGCGGTGATGGATGGATGGATTGCGCAGGGAGAAGGGCCCACTCCCACGCCGACACCGTGTCGGCGCCTTGCAGTATGGGCATGGTGATGGGAAGTGAGTGATGATGCTGGAGTTCATCTCGGCGGCGGGATTGATTGATTAATTGATTGATTGATTGCGGGGGTCACGCTCAGGTGGACGGTGATGAACAGGAATTTCCGGGCCATGTGTTCTTGCTGCAGTGCACCGGTGTCACGCCTCGCGGGTCAAACATCCATCGAGAAGCATGTCTTCCAGTAATCCAGTCACCACAAACCTGAAGGCACGAACCACCACCTCACGATATCATCAGGATGCGCACAGGACTTGGCAATAAACGAAGATGGATGTAAAAATAGCCCTTCCGTCGAGCTTGACCCATTCCAGCATATGCTGGTCTGCAAGACGAACCGTTTCCCTTCCCGTCTGTATCTTCACACTTCATGACTTCATATCAACCAGAGCACGTCTACGCGCGACAGCATCTCTGAGTGCAAAGGCGTCGACGGGATGCTGTCAGTGCAGCGCCGCCATCTGCCACAGTCCACCACCACCAAGTGCAGGTGGCATCTTATTCTCCTCCTCCGCCTCCGCCTTCTTCGGACTTCATTCCAACCATGCTGCGAATCCTTGCAATACAGCCTTGCATATGCTTGGCGATGCCACTGACAATCAATGATCGGGACATCCAGATACCTGATGACTGCCCACAGTGGAGATCGAGCTTCTGTGCGACGTGCATCATCATTCGACCTGCCGCCAACCACTGCCCACGGGATGGATGGGCCTTGCGCTGACGAAACCCGCCTCACATGGTCGAGATGGTCGCTACAGGTTTTCGTGCCGGGAAGATGGAAGCGGTCATGGTTGCAACCTCATCGTCCAACTGCAGAGATGAAGTCCGTGTTGATTATCAACCTACAATCCTACATTACATGTACCTCTAGGCAAGGTGGATGAGGTCACGTTGGACCGGGCGCACAATACCTCCGCTCCTCCGGAAGTCTGTCTTCTTGGTATTCTTATAAGCCTTATTATATTACCTTTTATATAGATTTTCTATATAGAATCATATACTATCTTTGAATCTATTGCTATAGGGAGGGTCTGCTTGCTTTGCTTTATAATACAAGCCCTAAAAATATAAGATTAATACCTTCCTTGCTATATAATCACTAAACTTAGAATTCTCCTACTAAATATAAGAAACTTTATCCTCTGCTAATTTCTAAATATACTTCCCTAAGCTAACAACACCTATTACGAATAGTTTAAGTAAGCGCTTCTTATTACTATAGAGGGTCTTAATTAGTTATAAGTCTAGTAAGTTAGTAGGGGTATCTAAAAACTTAATATTTTAGGCCTTAATTAAACTAGTAATAATCCTCCTTACTTTATAGTAAACACTAACATTATCTTCTATAATAAAGACTTCCTTATAAGGGTATAGGGCCTAGACTTCCTAATAGTACTTGAAAAGTTAGTCCCTATATATCTAGAAAGTATAGAATACTGAATCTAAACCCCCCTTTTTTCTATCTCTTAATATCTTTTCAATTTTAAACAATTTCTCTATAGTAATAGGTCTTTTCCTACCCTTCCTTTATCTAGGAGGTAGAGAGGTATTATAAGTATCAATTCTAGTATTAGTTTCTTAAAGGAGTTCCTATTCTAGAGTATTTTCTACCTTTAAGGCCTAGATTTGCCTCTCTATCTAAGAGGCTATCTTATCTTATACCCTTACTAGATCTAAGGCTAACTCTATAGTTATATTATCTAATTCGGGTTTCTAAACAACTACCCTTCGTTATAGACAAATCTCTAAAGAGACAGCGGCCTATTATATCCTATCTCCGTTCAGACGCTCTCTCTTTGATATAACGTCAAACTTTTAGAGCGGAGATACCCCGGACCGCTACGCTTTTCAAAGAGCGTCTAAGGACAACCTACGTATAGACAGCTAGTTACTTCGTTATCTTTTTTTCTATTATTCTAAGACGTTTATCAACTATATCCTATATATAGAAACCCGCGAAAGTAATCCTAGAAAATACTCTTAGCAATACGACACTACTATCCTCGGAACCTTAATCTGAAACCTACGTTCTAGATTTGCAAATAACACTGATTTTAAGCGTAAGTAATTATCGATAACCTATATTAAACTCGATAACAATTATAGATATAGCTATCTAGCCTTTACAAAAGTCGCTTAGAATTGGCCTAGCGAACTCCTCTAAGTATCGCTATAACTATACGACTAAGTACTAAATTGGTATTATTGTCGGGCGAGCCGATAAGCTATATTAAACTCGATAACGACTATAGATATAGCTCCCTAGCCTTTACAAAAGTCGCTTAGAATTGGCCTAGCTAACTCCTCTAAGTATCGCTATAACTATATAACTAAGTACTAAATTAGTATTGTTGTCGGGCGAGTAGTCGGTTAAGCTATTATTCTAAGACGCGATAACGACTACCGATATAGCTCTCTAGCCTTTACAAAAGTCGCTTAGAATTAGCCTAGCGAGCTCCTCTAAGTATCGCTATAACTATACGACTAAGTACTAAATTAGTATCGTTGTCGGGCGAGTAGTCGGTCGAGCAGTCGGTCGAGCAATTGTTTTAAGATACGATAGCTAGACAAGTAGTTATTCTAAGGATTATTCTAAGATACGAGCAGTTATTCCGATAATTGTTCTAAGACGCGACCGTTATTCCGAAGATTGTTCTAAGACGCGACCGTTATTGCGAGATTCTTCTAAGACGCGATAGCTAGGCGAGTAGGCATTCTAAGGATTGTTCTAAGACGCGATAGCTAGGCGAGTAGTTATTTAGAGGATTGTTCTAAGACGCGATAGGCCTGTAGTCGTTCCGAGGAATTCTTCTAAGACGCGACAGTTATTCTAAGGAATTGTTCTAAGACGCAATAGGCCTGTAGTTATTCTAAGGAATTCTTCTAAGACGCGACAGTTATTCCGAGGAATTGTTCTAAGACGCGATACGCCTATAGTCGTTCCGAGGAATATTGTAAGATACGATAGCTAGGCGATCAGTTATTCTAAGGAATTCTTATAAGACGCGATAGTTATCTCGAGGAATTGTTCTAAGACGCGATACGCTTATAGTCGTTCCGAGGAATATTGTAAGACGCGATAGCTAGGCGAGTAGGCATTCCGATAATTGTTCTAAGACGCGATAGCTAGGTAAGTAGGTAGTAGTTATTCCGAGGATTGTTCTAAGACGCGATAGCTAAACGAGCAGTTATTCCGAGATTCTTCTAAGACGCGACAAACGGACGAGTAGTCATTCCGAGGAATTCTTCTAAGACGCGACAGTTATTCCGAGGAATTCTTCTAAGACGCGACAGTTATTCCGAGGAATTGTTCTAAGACGCGATAGGCCTACAGTTATTCCGATAATTGTTCTAAGATACGAGAGCTAGGTAAGTAGCTATTCCGAGATTCTTCTAAGACGCGATAGCTAGGCGTCTTACTCGGAATTCTTCTAAGACATAATAGCTAGGCGAGTAGTTATTTAGAGGATTGTTTTGAGACGCGGTAGCTAGGCGAGTAGGTAGTTATTCCGAGGAATTCTTCTAAGACGCGACAAACGGGCGAGTAGGTAGTTATTCCGAGATTCTTCTAAGACGCGATTCTTCTAAGACGCGATTCTTCTAAGACGCGATTCTTCTAAGACGCGATTCTTCTAAGACGCGATTCTTCTAAGACGCGACAGTTATTCCGATAATTGTTATAAGACGCGATAGCTAGGCGAGCAGTTATTCCGAGGAATTCTTCTAAGACGCGAAAGCTAGACGTCTTAGAAGAATTAGATAATCGATTATTCTTATAGAGTATCTAGTCAATTGTCTTACGACGTATAATTCGTACGTCTTAAAACAATTCTAGTAGAGTATCGTATACTAATACGCCTGTATACCGTACGTCGTAGGTTGCGTTGCTGCCGTCGTTCGATATATAGAAGTTGCGAGGCGGCGAACCTTCGTAAGGTACGCGTATATTAAGCTAGGCAGCAATACCGACTATATAGGAGACGAGTATATATAAGAGCGACAAAGTTCTATACAGTCGTATTTAAATATACTTTACCTTAGTAATCGAGTTGTTACGGTAGTAGCTATATTGTTAGCTAGGCTCTAATACCCGACAATCGTTTAGCCCGCGCCGGGCGTACTTACTATAAGGGCCTCTAGGGCGGGCTATACCTATCTCCTAGATCTAGGCGACCCTAGAGTATCGATAGATACTATCAAATTTGCTAGCATCGGCCTAAGCAACGGCTAAATTCTACCGATAGTCGGAGATCGACTACTACTTATTAACCGCCCTAGGGCGGTGAACCTTGTTGAGTACTAGGCGCGTACCTAGTAGACGGCTAGGCGAAGGCGCAGCCCTCTTAGGAGGAGTGACTATAGTAGGCAAGAGAGGTAGCGGTAGTAGTAGCGGTAGTAGCGGCGGCGAAGCCGGGGCGAGAGTAGCGATAGGAGCGATAGGAGGGATAGAAGCGATAGAAGCGAGAGCAGCGATAGCAGTAGTCGTTTCGTCGTCGTCGTCGTCGTTATATATATTATTTATACTACGCTTGTATAAGTATTATAACTAAGCTATTCTCGCGTTAAAAGCAACTTATAGGAATCTACTACCGAAATCGTCGTCGTCGTCGTCGTCGAGCGCGTAGACAGGGGTAGAAGCAGTAGTAGCCGTATTAGCAGTAGCCGTAGTAGTAGCCGTAGCAGTATTAGTAGTAGTATTAGTAGCCGCTTTAGTAGCCGCTTTAGTAGCCGCTTTAGTAGCCGCTTTAGTAGCCGCTTTAGTAGCCGTAGTAGTAAGCGAGAGCTCGCGCAAAAACAAGCAGTTCTCTTCTATACTAGCTTCTAGGGCTAGTTTGGTTTCGGCCGCGAAGTAGCGGTCGAACAACTCGTCGCTATTCTTATTAGCTTTGTTATTCTAGTAGGCTAGAGGAATATATATATCTAACTATTGCGCCTAGCCTAGCGCGACAGGCTACTTCTCGTTGCCCTACGGGTAATAGCGGCGTAGCGTACTT